CTCAGTGGGGAATAAGTTAAGAGGATAGATCAGGCGGTTCGTTAGCAAACTGCTCAACGCTAGGTCTCAGAGATCCGAGTGTACGTCTCAATCGCAGCTGACGATTGGCTTCCCCTTTACGTTGGCCAATTGCTCTTCGTTCAATGTCAAGTTTACCCGCAAGAACCCTGTTGTTCGCCGATCGGTGGATCGCTTTTCTGGGGGTGGGGGTAATAATTTCTTCAAAAGCATTAACAAATGGTAATAAGTGGTCACTTCAATCCACGGCTGTTTGCGGGGACGCTGCTGTGCGCAGTTGGCTGCCGCGTTTCGCCCACAAAGTATAGTCAATTCACTTTACAGTATTTCTGTGAAGCGCTTTGAGACGTCGCGAAGGATTATTATCATTATTATTATTATTAAGTGTAGTAGAGGGGAAGTTCAAGGTAAAATAAACGCAAGTTGTTTTTCTGGGTGTCTAACTGGGAATCAGTTTTAAAATAAATCGTTTCTCCCTCCAATGTTGACTCCCCCCAAATGCTTTGCCAGAGATCACAAAGAGCGGTTGGAATAAAGAAGATACCTCGAACTACACCATCTCCCCATCACAGCTTCAAGTCGTTGCTCAGATGATCGCAGTCTCCATCCTGTCCTTAACCACCATTCCTACTTCTGATAATAATAATAATAATCTTTGCATTTGATACAGCGCCTCATCACGTCAAAAGCATTTCACAAAATACACTGTAAGGTGAATTGACTGTATATTTTGCGGGCGAAACGCTGCAGCCAATTGCGCACAGCGGCGTTCCCACAAACAAGAGCCCTACCCTATCCTTCTTTGAGACAAATAAGGGGGCCTTTGGGAACTCCTACAATACAGCGACCGGACTTTTTTGGCAACGGCTTGAAAACATGGGGTCACCTCTCGCCCCTGCTCAGGGCCTGGGATTGACGAGTTAGCGTCGATTAGGAACTAACCATGTGGGGAAAATTGGGTCAAAATCCAATGAGTGTCACTGCTTTTGTGGATATTTGCCAGGACTCTTAATGTGGCCTCTGCCACTGTATCGCAGCCCAGTCCACGGCCGCAGAATTTCTACACAGGGCCGTTTCTAGAACCTTTTGCTTCCCCGGCGGTTTTTAATTCATTGCCCGACGGAAACTGAACTGACGAGAGAAAGTACGTCATCCGAGGCAGCAGCAAAAAAATAGTATTTTTTCATTTGTTTTTGAGCCGGTAACCTGCTGTGCGAGAAGACTCTTATAATTCCTCAAGCCAACACTCTCCCAGAGTCCCCGAGACGCCACCCAGACGTGGAAATAACGCCCGCGGGTGCACGGAGCAAAGTGGTGACGTCAGATTCAGTTCTCGATTTCTTGGAGAATCGGATTGCAGTATTCTTGGCACATGGAACTCGTATTTACACAGCGCCCTTCACACCGGGCAGAGCCTCGGAGCGCTCAATAATGGTGGTGGAGCCTGACGCCGAGCCAGGGAGGAGGTGACTGTAAGCACGGCCGAAGAGGAAGGTCTTCAGTCGTGATCTAAAAGAGGGGAAGGAGGGGGCGAGGGGGTGGGATTGGGTGGGGGGGGGGGGGGGGAGAGTTCCAAAGCTTGGAACCGAAGTATACACAATGACCCGCGATTTCTCACCAAATGTTACGCCAATAAACTCTGAACAATGCACAACCAACGCTGCCTTCATTCCTGCCCGTTGGTAACTTTAACGCCCCGATTGCTGTGCGCAACTGTATAAGAACAATTTAACAATGACCCTTACATTTGTTGTAGCGCCGTAGCATGTTGTCGGCACGTCTCAAAAGCGCTTCATAGCTTATATTGAAAAGTCTAGCGACTGTGTACTTTGCGAGTGAAACGTGGCAGCCAATTACGCACCAGCAGTGACTTGTCCCATCAAGTCATAGATCGAGTGACCAGGTTTTTTTGGAGGGATTATTACACCCGGAAAGCGATCCGCCGATCTACTAACAGCCGTGTACTTACTGCTCGGTAAAACAGAGGCACGTGGAGTAAGGAGACTCGCCAAAGATTTTACCCCTCCCACGAATCAAACCTGGGTCCTCTCGCTTGCGAGCGAACCATTATGCTACGCGACTCCACTTGCATTTACATAGCGTCCTTCGGACGAGAGTCTTGTCTCGGTGAAGAAATCAAAGTGTTGCAGAAATCAGAGGCAGTGAATAAATCACGGGAAATAAACTGGCGACACAAATGCACGTTGCTGTTAAAACAAAGTGTTTACTGTTATAAACAAAGCACAAGTTTAACTGTACATGCTGAAACTAGGTCACTATGTACAGGGTCAAATCAAACCTCATTAAAATATACAGAAAAATATTTTTCCAATCAAATTAATCCAAGTACCAGGCTAAAACGGAACAAATCTTAATGCAGGAACAGAATTATGTACAAAAGAGAATTATTAAATGTTAAATCTATGTATAGTTACAACTGCTCCTCAAAGAAAATATTTAAAAATCACAAGTGCTACACTTTCAATTACGTAAGCACATCTTCTTTGCTTTGCAACGGAGTAAATAAAGAGTTCACGAGTAAACTATTCAGAGGGTACCGAAACAAGACAATTCTGGTCAAATGAAATTAAATATATCCACAAAATATTTAGAAGGGAACATTTCGTACACAGAATATTTCTATTCCCACCTCCCCCAAGAGTCTGAGTCAATCACTCACATCTCCGCACACAATCGATAAAACTATTAACTGCGGATATTCTGCACGTTAATTATAGTACACCCAGCTATCTGTCACGAGAGGGCGATTTGACTGAAATTAAATGGATAAGGGCTTTTTTTTTTAATTAAACAACAACAATGTAAAATGTGCTGAAACTGTCAGGGATTGGGAAACTCCTTTTCACATTTTTTCCAGTGTTGATCAATTTCAAGTGAAGACAAGTGACCAATTCATAAAAAGGAAAGAAGGAAAGTGCTTCTAGACTGGACAGTACCTAGAGTTTAACGGGCAGTTTTTGTGCAACAGCCGCAAAAAAAAAAAAAAAATCACCGGCATAGAGAGGGTGGACTGAAAATTAATTATTTTTTAAAAATGTTTCTGCGGGCGAGATAATAAAAATAATCCTCGCATTTGGTGCAGCACCTTATCGCGTCATTGAGACGTCTCAGAAGCGCTTCACAGAATATACTGTAAAGCGAATTGACTGCGCATTTTGTGGGCGAAACCCGGCAGCCAATTGCGCTCAGCGGTGTCCCCACAAACAGCCGTGGATTGAGTCACGGATTTTCTTTTTGAAGGTATTATTACCCCCGGAAAGCGATATCGATTAATGTCAATATTGGTTCCAACTTACTGCCGGGTAAACAGAGGTGTGTGGAATAAGGAGAGTTGCCAAAGGTTTTGCCCCGCCCGGGAATCAAACCCGGGTCCTCTCGCCCGTGAGGCGAGTGTCAATTGTTAGAATTATGCATCAAATATTGTCGCAATCTTTTTTTCCTCGACCCCATTTCGTTCTGAATACTTTTTTTTGCTTATCAAAAAAAAAAGCAGATGAATTATACTTTTGGGAGGTAAAGTTGTAAAGTTTTGCCCTTTCAACAAACTTGTTTTTTTTTTTAAAAATAAAAAAGAAACCGCTTTGCAGGAGCGAAAAACGCCCACAAGATGACAGGACTTGGAATGATTCGAGACTTTTTTTCTTTACAAAATTCATTCCAACGGGGAAAAAAAAATCCTTTCAATGCCTTCTCTCAAACCATTCCGAGCTTAAGTATTCAATAGGAATAGTGTCATTTGTCTTTACGCTATCGTTCGATATTTCTTAAAACAGACAGCTTTAAAACAACCCATTGTGATAAACACGTTAGCCATGTCGTCTAAGATGAATTAATTTGAAGCCCTCTTATAAGATATTGTTTCTGGTTTCTTTTCAGTAGATTCTAATGAAAGCTCATTAACTAGTCATGCTTATTAAACAGTCCAGGTGAAAAAATTCGGCTATTAAAAAAAACAGGAATGCAAACTGGAATAGTACCACAATTTAGTGCATTTTTCAAATAAAAATGTCCTCAAAATGCAGGTGAATCCTGCGCCGTAACCAAAGGGGCTGATTTACAGCTGCAATTATACAGACGATAGAGCGAAAGTCGAAACAGATTTAACAAAGAGTAGTAAATGCTTTTTTTTTTTGGGGGGGGGGGTGCGGCTTCACTCAATGTAGTGGAAAGCGATACAAAATGCATCACCTTTTCGAAACCCACTGAGAGTTTCCAACACGAGTTGCGAGAACGCGGGTGTTGGAGGAAGCCAACGATCCGAAAGGCCACCCCTTTACTTTAGAATCAAATCTGAAATAATCGTAACATGTTCAGCGTAGATAGTTTAACCGGACTATGTTTTAATTAACTTTAACTGACGACTTATCCCAAGTCTAACAGCCCAGCAAAAGGAAGGGCAAATCAACCAGTGTGCATTCCTCTCTCTCTCGTCTCCATATACACAAAGCGAAGTTTGTAGATCTGTTTCCATGTACGAAATCGAATCACTTGATAATTCAGTCAGTAGTATATTGTCATATAAAGTGCCTTCAGACGATTTCAGAACAGGAAACTCTCGCAAATGACTTCCAAATTTCTTTTGAACCAAGTGGAAATGGGAACTTTTAAGCAAACGTTAAAAACCTGCATTATTACCGTGGCTAAGCAATAGAGTAACAAAGCTGTACAGCGTAGGTTGGCACTGAACCGACAAGGTTTTTTTTTTTGATAGTATTGCTCTTATTTACAAATTAAACACTTTTTAAACCTGCAAAAGTTTTTTTTTAATGGAAAGGTTACAAACTTTTTCGATTTTAATATTTTTTTTTTTACAAATGGTATGAAAAATATTTATCCTTAAAATCCAACAGTCAATACTCGACCACTTTGCAATTTCGCATGGTTGATTGATAGATACATTCACGTTCATTTTACAGCATGACACAAAAGGTGGGGGGAATGGCGGGGGGGGGGGGGGGGGAAAGTGGGAAGGGGGAAAAAAAAATAAGGAACCAGTTCACATGCCTCCTTCCTCAAAGTCGTTCCAATAAAAAAATAACACTGCGGTTGTGCACGTCCAGAGGGAACAGAAAGTGAGGTTAATTACCAATCGTTGGCTGTGCATAGCTTAACTCTTTTCTCACGAACCCAGTTGCCCGCATTACTCTCCCGACCTTGACCAAGTGAATGCGATGGCATCGAGCTGATGGTACACACGTGGCGCACCTCGACTCGACAGCACTAGTTACAGCTGCACGCGGTACAACACGTAAACGACACGAGGTTCCGGGATGTGCAGATATTCTGACGTCAATAAATCCAACACAGTCACTGGTTTGTTTTCTTGTTAAAAAGTTTGGGTTCGGAGGGATTCACACTGTTACTGAGTCGGTTTGTCAGGCTCCCGGTCTCTCTCAACTTCTACTTCCGTTGCTTAATTTAAAAACACGCTAGAGTCTGAATTTGTTGCACTTTAGAGGAGGACGTCGCAATGTTTTTAAACCGAAACGTCACTCGGAATATTAATATTTAAATAACATACAGAGAAACTAAAGTGGGGGAAATCAGCAGCTTTCTGAATTAATCCACACAGTGCTCAAATGCTGTTGAGATATTTCCCCGATTTTTGTGCAGGAGACCACTGGTTAAATGCATCGATAAAAATGGCTTTTTTAAAAAAAATCCAAGCAGAGATCTATCCGATTGGATTCCGTTTGTTACTTTGCCCAGAAATATTAAAGCTGCATTTTGTTTGTTCCAAAGATGCATTTCAACACTTACAACCAGCAGCTTTGATAAGAGCGATCCCTCTCAATCTCCCACTGGTCAAACTCAATGTCCCCCAAAAAGTAATTGAGGCATAATCCTGTACCTTAAAGTAAGGACTATGTCCCTATGTTAACAGACGAGAGGTTGCCAAGCAATATTTGGACTTGTTCAAAACTGATCAGCAAAATCGACCAGAATTTTTACTGGTTAAATTTAAAGACTGGTGTTTGCGCTTTGTACCTTTCACCCATATATCCGAGTGTTTTAGTGCACTTCACCTCTGCAGGGTGCAAGAGTGGTGTGGACAACAGATAACTGAACTGAAGGTACAAGGCATGCATGCTTATATCTGGCACAAAAGTGTGAAGTGCTATCATGTCTCTGCAAGTGAAAACGTTTAACGAGAAGGCGCAGGGCCCTCAATCAATCTGTGAGATCACCCACGGTGAAAGAGCTCGGTGTGTTTGGTGACCCTCCCCCCCCCCCCACCCTTAAGACAACTACCATGTAAATCTTCACCACTAATCCCTGGTCTGAAAGAGAATGCGCGTCTTTGGAAAGGATTGTCTTAGCCAATGTTTTACCCGGGCAATCATTAACAAGCGAGAACACTTTTAGGTTCTATTAGGAAATTCTTGAGTCAAGCCTGGATTGGATAAATTGAGAAATTCCCATTTCAGGCACCTCAGTCAGCCAAGGAATCAATGTAGAATTCAGTGTCGGTTTTCAATTCACCCAGGAACTTTTTCCGTGTAAATAAATCTTTTTTTTTAAAAAAAAAAACGCCGTATTGCCAGCTCTCCATATTATCGCGGTGCGAGGCTTCTAAAAGAGGTGAGAAAAACAAACATTCTGTGACTGGTCGAGACTCATCACAAGTCAAAATGCTGCACATCAAAATCTGAAAGTGAGAAAAGTTTAGTTTGTGTTTTTTTGGGGGGGGGGAAGAGGGGGTTGGAGTTGGGGGGAAAGGGCCAGGGGAGTTGATTTGGATCATAAGTGCTCACTGAACAATAATCACTTATTTATACTCTATATTAAAACACACAGCTCGTGGTGGGGAGGGTGGGGGGGAAGGGGATTTTCCGTTTGTACGTTAGTCAGAAAGGCAGCGTGAAAAGACGGGTTAATAAAAATGAACAGTAAGTAATGCCAAATGCGGCCCACACATCCACATCCCGGCTCCCGCACACCCTCTCTCTGCCGAGGGTCAGGTCGAAGCCAAAGGTGTTCAAAGTCAATCTCGCAAAACAGAAAAAGGTGTAATATATATATATATAATGCCAGAGGCGAGCGAGCGATCGATCACTTTTTTTTTAAATAACTCCCTCAAGTCAAACCAGCACGGAAGATGAAAAATTCATAGGCAGGCGAGGGAAAAGTCACGTAGGTAATTCTCCCTTTTGGCACTACAGTATAATCCAAATGGCCGTCGTTTCCCTGGACAAAATGAGCAGGCGAGACACACGGCGTGTCAGAACTGAGGGCGACTCTGATCGTCGTTGTATTTATTGTCAGTATAGTCACACACGCAAGAAACTGCTTTTTTTTTCCCAACATAAAGTGCAACAGTGCTTAAAGTTCTCATAGTCCACCCTCCGTCCGGGGCTTGTCGATTTTCCAACCTTCCAACTCGCAAAAGGACAACACGATGTGCACTCACTGTGCAACATTGCGGATGTGTTCGCTCTTCTCTCTCGCTCTCTCTCTCTCCCACACTCTCTCCCCTCTCCTCCCAATCCCCAGCAAACCAGGCTTCGGCAATGAGATAAAGGCCTCGTCCTTTGGCTAATCGTACAGTATTGACTGCAATGGTTTCACAATGCCTTCTTCGTAGACTCTTAAAATAGCTTCACAAACAAATTTGTATTGACTCTGGGAGGGGAACAAAGGAGGGAAGAAGCAAAAAAAAAAACTCATTCAATCGATTGGTCATCTTGAAATACGATTTGCTGGTTTTAGGAGTGCAATTCATTAAAATAAGATATGTAATAAATTAAACATCGCTTAACTCAAGATGTACATTTCATATTCCATTAACGGTGAAGCACGACTCATTCAGCACTCTGGACTGAAAGCTACTATGGAAATATACATGATGGAAAAGAACATCAAGCAGGTTTCAATTGACTGAAGCCACACAAAAAAAATTGAACCAATTCAGAAAATGCCTTTGGAAGACTGTTTTGATTTCCAATTTGGATAATATTACATAATTAGATTATATTTTTTAATGTATACTTTGTGGGCAATTCACAGCAGGCCAATTGCCCACAGCGGTCGTGGATTGCGTGACCAAATTAATTAATTATTTTTAAATGAATAATAATGCGATTGCGTGTGCTATCATGTCTCACTACGATGCCATTCAGTCAATTTTCTGTTAAAGGGAAAAAGGGTAAGAATGCAACGCTAACCAAAGAACTAGGCTGCACGGATTTGGCCAGGCCACAGGTTTGGAAGCAAAAAATAAATCAAATCAAAGCTGATGTCAACTCAGCAGATATCCGAGTTTGTAATGCAAGTAAATTGGACAAAGTTTAAACGAGCATTGGTGTTAGATCCCAAGCTTAGAGCTCTGTACTGAGTGGCAAACAACTACTGTAGTTATCAATTCTGCCAAAATGAAGACTTGAGTTTGTTTCCACCTACAGTTAATGGCCAGTAGATGTCAGCCTGTGCCTTGTTAGCCATCGTGTATTTATTCATGCACAGGGGAAATACGTTGCTTGAATATTTTAAGCTCCCACCGAACAAAATGAGCATGCACAAATCTGAGCTTGTAGGAAATGCCAAGCAGCGTTCATCCCCGCACTACTCTGAACACAAAGATAATTTCACGTTGCAATTCCCGTCAATGACAGGTCCTCACTGCCTTATGGAGGATATACCCATTAGTTGGCACTTCAGATCGAATTCCTTATCTCTTCTATTCTTCCTCCCCTCCACCACTTTTACCCTTTACCTAAATTTCTCTTGGCTTTTCCTCTCTTTGATTTACTTCCTTGTACATGTAATGTATCCTTGGTCAACATTCTTCCTTCATCAAAATTCATTCCCCCCCCCACAAAAAAAATCAAACTATTTGGTCAGGATTCACGACTTCCCATTATTTCTGGGACGCTGCTGGTTAAAAAAATATATGGCCACTGCGTTGGCTCACAAAACAATTACTCCACTACAAAGTGGCATTTTTTTTAAGTATGTTAGGATGTAACTCGGCGCTATATTAAAAATATTATGTAGCCCTACTAAAATCCTGGGCAGGTTTTATTTGCATTGCGCCCTCTGCAATGCTGATCGCACATTTCTGAAACAAACAAGGTGAAAGGCGGCACAGTTATTTAAACAGATCGTGCATATTCTGCCACACAAAGGGCCTATTCTATGAAGCTAAATGGACCCGCTTCACACCCTCTGATCACCAAATTCAAACAGGGCATTAAAGGATGAGTCATGCCTTTATTCTAATCATAGGCATCTCACTACAAACCATCAGTCCAAGTGCATACCAGAGTTCATTTTATCAGAAACGGCTAGATGAACGTGCATTGCACACGAGAGTAGCGACTTAGCATAGGGAGTAAATTGAAACGAATACGCTATTTACAGTGTGGGACGATATTGCATCACTTGTGTGGTAGAGCAGCAATAATTTACTTTTCCATTTGGACTATTTTAGGAATCCCAATGAGCGGCCAGTGCACACACTCAAACCAGCAGCTTGGCACCTCGTCCCTGCAGGCGATGGCTTTACTGCCTGCCTCCACACATTTGGCTTCTCAGGTCGTTCGGGAATAGCGAATCTTGTGTAAATAGTTGAGATAGTGTGGATATCCAGAAGTGTAAACCACATACTCACGGGATAGATACCACAATCCAACTTAGTTCCGGTTGCATTGCGATAGGATTACCATGGGTCAGGGTGTCGAACTAACAATTATCAACAGGATATGATATAATAATACTAATCCTTGCATTTGATACAGCGCCTCATCACTTCTTCGAGACGTCTCAAAGCGCTTCACAGAATATACTGCAAAGTGAATTGACTGCATATTTTGTGGGAGAAACGTGGCAGCCAATTGCGCACAGCAGCGTCCCCGCAAACAGTCGTGGATTGGGTGACCAAATTATCAGCATATTTTAAAAAATATAAATTTTTGAAGGGATTGTTAACCCCTGAAAAAAGCAATCCATTAATTGACTAACAACCGGGTTCCTACTTACTGCTCGGGGAACGGAGGCATATGGAGAAAGGAAACTCGCCTAAGGTTTCGCCCTGCCGGGAATCAAACCCAGGTTCTCTCGCTTGCGAGGCCAGTTCTCTAACCACTGAGTTACGGGACTCCACAATATATGTCAAAATGAGAAGAGGAAGTAGGATTTTACAGGGAAGCTGAACAGTGCAACTCTGTTCAGTCCTTTGCTGCAAACCAATTCGCTTGCTGTGAACAAGCTAATTGGGTGCAGGATTTACATCAGCTGGGATGGAAGTGGAGTCTGATCCAGATGCCATCCACTGACTGAACTCAAAATCTAATGGATGGCAGAAGCGGTTATAGGACAAGAAAAAAAAAGTAATCAATACTCACTGGTGTTTGAATCATCATGGCTCTCTGATCTCGCATTGTTCGTACAATGTCCAATGGATACATGGGCTGATTGCACTCGATTAGGCACATTGCTGTCTCCATAGTGATGAGGACTCCAGTCCTGCCAATCCCAGCACTGTCAGACACACACGCACACACACACACACACACACACACACAACATAGAGCGCGAGATTACAATGGAATCCTTGATTCTACTTGTTTTCAGAACTTTCTCCGATGTCAAGGTGAAACAAATGCAAGCGTCAACAACTTAACACACAAATGCGGTCATGTTTTTTTAAAAAACATTTCATCACACATGCACCGCTTCTACATCTTGGTTCTAAAAGCTGAATATTAAACGAGAGGGGCCTGATACCTACTGATAATATAGTAATATAATAATAATAATCCTTGCATTTCAAATAGCACCTTATCACTTCCTTGAGGCATCTCAAAGCGCTTCGCAGAATATACTGTAAAGTGAATTGAGTGGGTGAAACTGATACTAAACAATTTAGATGAACCAATTTCTGGTGTTCACTGCAAATAGACTTGGCAATTCAGCTGAAAACAGACCGTCCCACACTCGATGGTTCCAATCTGGCTTACTCCTGTTCCCCGCTCATTCAAAACAATATCTGCATCAAATTATTTGCGGAAATGCACAGCGAGACTAGACTGGCTTAAAAACAAACTGCAAAGGAGTCGTGTGTCATAGCTTCCAGCAATATTTTCAAACTATTTATAGCGAGGCGTACATAAGATTCCAGTTGTAAATGTTCAGCTAGTACTGGCAGAAACATGAACCAGTGAATCAGCTTCCATAATTCGTTACCATTTAAAAGTGGGACTATTTCAAACAACGTCCTGATTGCAGCAGCAGCTGCGTGGCCTGTAGAGTATTGAGTTTGGAAGATAGGTTTCCCAATACCCAGATTACTCTCCATTCTGGGACACCGGCCCAACAATGCCTGTGTTTTTGTAACGCACTTTTTTTTTTTTTTTTTGGACGGACTTTCACGATAAGCTGCCTTCAATTAAACAGCAGCAGGGAAACTGCTCCCAAAAATGAACCCCATTAAAGAAAATTCAATCCATAGCGCCCGCTTGGATTCCAGTGTCCTTTTGCACTTGCTGTGTGGCTGCCAGTTCGATGCTGTGAAATGCTTCACAGAGAAACTTTCCCCCTGGAAAATCCAATTTAATTAGAGGAGACTCACACCGAACCACTGTTAAATCCCATCATTGCTCAACAGTGTAATTGATCTGTACAGCCTTCCTGTGAATAACGGACAGTGATTTCACAGAGGAAAACAAAGGAAAAAAAACATACTTAAGTTGTTCTATTTTATCAGATGGAATCATTTAGAATGGGCCACAGCCTGCAGTATTTACTTCAGAAATGTTAGAATATAAAGTTTACAAAACATTTATTGGGCTCCAATTGAAAAGACTACAAAACCAAAGCAAAATGCTAGGTCATTCTCATAAGAATCAACTTTGCTCTGTGCCTGAAGCTGTAATAATAATCCTTGCATTTGAGACATCTCAAAGCGCTTCACAGAATATGCTGTGAAATTAATTGACTATAGAGTTTGTGGGCGAAATATGGCAGCCAATTGCGCACAACGGTGTCCACAAACAGTTGCGAATTGAGTGATCAAATTACTATCTTTTAATTTTTTTTTGAAGGGATTATTACCCCCAGAAAAGCAATCTGCTAAAGACTGCTAAAGACTTACTGCTAGGTAAACAGTGGTGCATGGAGTAAGGAAACTATTGTAAAACCCAGAAAAGATGCGTTCCTTAAAACTGATAAGGTTAACTTCACTGAATGGCTGTCAATTGTGCTGTATCTTTCCCTGGATTAACCGAGTTCCAACTCATTCCACCAAGAACTTTAATCTAGGTAATGAAAGGGTGCCCATCCAGCCTATATTGCATGTTTTCCAGTAATCTGCAGAATGCAGTTGGAAGTTGAATTTTGCAGACCTAAACATTTAAATGATATCTCCGCAAGTCCTCTCCTTATTTATCCTACAATATATACAGTCAACACATTTTAGTGTATTCTGTGAAGCGCTTCAAGACGTTGTAACGACGTGATAAAGCGCTATATCAAATGTAAGGATTATTATTATACAAACCAATATAAGCAGCAAGATTCAAGACCTTTTTGAAGTTGTTCCTTAACAGTCGGAGCGCAACTTCCCAACTTGGCGCTCAATTTCCATTTCTAACCACTTTGCTCAAATATCAAGTATTTGAGCCCCTAAATTGATTAAAAAAATAAGCAGCTGAATACCAGCACCCACCTGCAGTGTACAACGACGGGCTCATCTTTGCCAACTCGCTTTTCTCGAACAAGCAGCACAAACTTCAGGAAATCGCTGGAGTCATCGGGAACGCCGTGGTCAGGCCAAGCAACGTACTGGATCTGGGTCAGTGGACGGCTCTCATTATTCTGTATAAATCGTAATAGACGACAGATTAGGCTAATTGGTAAAGCAGGGGAGTACGCAGGAGGAGATTGGCAACCATTTGTGGAGTTCGGTCACCCTCCTCCCCCTACCCTCCATGTCCCTCCATCCCTCCTGATCCCAACCCACAGATTGGGTCCAAATCCTTGACTGTCCAGCGCCTTGCGAGTTCCTCCCGATGTGAAAGGCACCGTATAAATGTAATTTGTTGTACTTGTGGGAGTGCAGGCTATTCTATCATGTCACAGGTCTGTATTTGCTTCTGTTTGACAAAACAGGCCAATTGAGTCCAATGCTACAACACGCACAAAAAGACAAACATGCATAAAAATGCATGTGGAGTCCTGTAGCTCAGTGGTTAGAGAACTCGCTTTGTAAGCCAGACACCTGGGTTCGATTCCCAGCAGGGTGAAACCTTAGGCAAGTTTCCTTACTCCACACGCCTGATGATAATCCCTCAAGAAAACAATAATAAATTGGTCACTTCAATCCACAACTGTTTGTGGGACACTGCTGTGCACAATTGGCTGCCATAGTTCACCCACAGTCAATTCACTTTACGGTCTATTCTGTGAAACGCTTTGAGACGTCTTAAGACGTGAAAAACTCTACATCAAATGCCAGGGTTATTATTAGAAAGGTAGATATGAGGAATGACAAGAAAAGCCTCATCAAGAATGAAAAGAAACAACTCAGAGCGAACCTTATAGTAATATCTGGATTATGCTCCATTTTGGGAGGTGGCAGTGACAACTGGAAGCAGAAGTGCAACCTTCTTAACATTACAGAACTGGTTAAGAAAGTGAGATTGTTCATTGAGTCAGACTGCAAGCTAATTGAACCATAAGCATTAGCCTAGGAAATAGGAGAGAATCCTTGAAATTTTAGGCAAACATTCGGCTGATGTTGGGAGGTAAGAAAGAACAAATAAAAGAAACGTACAACTTGTGTTCAAGTGGCTTTTCCCACTCAGTGGGGATATGATGGTGGTCATCAAGATTGTAAGGGACCTTGAGGAGAATAGGAAAAGAGTGCTTCCATTAGTTGAGGAAGTAGTGACAAGAGGGCACAGTCTCAGAATTGTTAGAAGAAAAATTAGGGAAGAGGTTCAAAGGAATTGTTTCACGCAGAGGGCTGTTAGGGGTTTGGAATTCTTTGCCACAAGTGGCTATTGAGGCTGAGTCAACAGAACTATTCAAAAGGCACTGGGATAAACATCTGGGCAGTAAAAACAGAGGATACAGCAAAACAGCTAGGAAATGGACCTGATAAAAGTGAGGGGGATTGAGTGAAGCTTCTAGGAGATGTGATGGGTTAAATCTTTTCTGTTAACGCATTAACACAGTGAGAATATCAAATCAAAGTAAAAAACACACATCCGCCACACAGTAAACGGAGGATCCTAAAAGCAGAGCGGCTGGGAGTGAAGTTTACAGAGCCAAGCGTAGGGCATCAATAGTTAAGATCAATGCGAAATATTTCCTGAAAGGTTTCTTGAAAAGAAGACATGTTATGAAACTAATCGCATATCAAAGCTGTACAGCAATCTATTCATCACAACAACGATTCATAAAAAGCTCCATGTCACCATCTCTGGGATTTCAAAATGACAGCTTACTGCAGAAGACACTCGGAAGTGTCTAGGAAAAAACAGAGCTGACCGCTAAATGTTTGCTGGTGTCTTTGATGTGCAAAATCAAACAAAACCTTTGCGTGCCACATGCCAGACACTGTGAGAAGCAGCGAAAAAATATCCTGCACATTTTTCCTTCAGGAGACGGATACTGAGTTTATGGAAATAGTGATTAAAAAAAAGTGAATTGAGTTCAAACCATTTTAGTTATGCCATCACTTAAAGCCATGTCATCAAGTCTAACCTCAGCAATCCCAAAATGTTTCTAATTAACATTCTTCATCCTTGATCAGAAATACTCAGGCAGCTTGGTTAAATATTGACAAGTTTATGATACTCAGTAATTTGCTAGAGGGAATGCTTTGGTTTTGCAGAAGTTCTATTCTGAACAGCTCTTAAACCAACTGAGCCATCATTATTCCAAGCTGGCTAGTAGATGGAATAAACACAACAACTTGCATTTGTATAGTGCTCTTCACGTAGAGAATCATCCAGATCTTAACAATGGCTCAGTTTGACACAAAGCTGGGGAGAAAGGGGATGTGACCATAGGAACATCTATATTTACTGTAAATCCTGTGATGCGCTTTGAGACGTCTCAACGACGTAATAAGTAAAGTAGAGGGATTGAGGCAGGGAGTTCTCGAGGGTCAGGGTATAGTGGTTGAAGAGCACAGCCACTCATGGCTGGAGAGACAGAGATTCTCTATCTGTCGTGTTCTGGTTTATAATGTTTCAGGGTCACATGGGAAAATACTTCCCATCATGGTTCTACATCTTACCTCCAAATTGGTTAGCGTTAACTCTCTGAAGACATACGCAGGATTTCCTTCTTCAGAATGGCAGCCAACTTGGAAAGTCCCATATGACGCATTATCCGAAGGTTCAGGCCAATATTGGTGGCACTTGACCTGGGGACAGAAAGACACGGAAAATTATTAACAAGACGAAGCTGACAGATTTTCACTCGATGCACAAGTTGACATGAACTGTCCTATTCTTATCCAACTTCGTAACTGAATAGATTCTCAATCAGCATCAACACCATCTAAAACGTCAGCCAATTGTACATATGCTGAGCTGGCTTGAGAAGCCATAGTTTTTTTATTATTATGACAAAATCAAGGCAACATTCATTAAATAAACTAAGAATGGGCATGGAATTCTCTTTGAAAGACTCCCATCTCAGAAAGGATTTAGTACAATATTAGTAGCCGGAAAAACACTGTTTCTTTGGTCAACATCTTCAAAAGCATGTCTTATCCCCGTCCCACCTGGCTCGGTTAAAGCATTGCAAGGCTGCATTACGTAAAGCTTGCTATATAAGCACAAATTGTTGCTGAATACTCAACACAAGGGACGACCAGGCAAGGCAAAGCTTCATGTGAATTAGATGACCCATTCTAGTTTTGCCAAATCTGTAGTGAAATGAATAAGTAGGGGAGGTAAATCCCCAAAGCAGCTTAAGTTTGTCTACAAAACCTTTAATTTCACTGGAATAACGTAGATCCTTCCACAAACTCACCAATAGGGTAATTTCACATTGTTGTCTGATAAAGGAAACCACTTATGGTTTTGTGACAATTTCCCAAAGCATTTTTAGGTTACTATTCACTGACATGTGCAGACCAACAGCACTGTATAATTATGCCTCCTCTTTCAATGTAATTTTGGGGACCTAATCGCTAAACGTGAATGCATGCAAAAAGGCTGACTTAATGACAGTGGTAGTGAAAGTGGTCAAAATAAATGTGCATTGAATACCCAGTACGTCACCTCTTGAAAACAAGCAGACTATTCTATCTGTAGTGCTATGCGTAGAATGCCAAAATAGACAACTATTGGGGCATCGTGTTCTAGCTCAGTATCGCTGGGAGACACAGAAGACCACAAAATTGCTGCTAAGGTCATTTTACGTCAATACAGATGATACACAAATAAACTACTGCTTCACAGAGAACAGGGAGTGGGTTCAAGGATCAAAAGCCCAACTTTTCAATCACTGTTTACTTATCCCAAACATACACACTTCCAAGTTTCCAAATGGGAAATTGCACATTTTTGCAGATGAGACCAAAGGAAACCAGGCTTCTCTTCAAATGGCATTAAGCTGGCCAAGTCTTCACATCAATTATGCATGCCAATCATGATTATGCAAATAAGGTTACCTATAATAATAATCGGCATTTGATATAAGGCATATCATTGATATCACATCGTTGAGACTTTTCGAAGCACTTCACAGAATATACTGTAAATTGAATTGACTGTGTTTTGTGGACGAAACGCCACATGACATATTTTACAGGGTTCAGCAAATCTAATTACCACAAGCTACATTTCTCTAAAGTAGACCACAGAGTGTGGAAAAAACTACGTGACAGCGCAAATTTGCCACCAGGTCAACCCCCCAAAAAAGGGCGTGTTCATACTTACCCTGCCTCTTTCCACTTGAGTTGTCAGCATAACTACCAGAGAGGAACCCTGTTCCCACGTCATCTGCCAGAAATCTTGGCAAGTGTTAGGTAAAGGACCCTGACAGGCAATGTACCGGTTTATTATACTGGAAGAAGGGATTTCCATCTGCAAAAATCCAAGAGAAAGAAAAAAAAACACAAGAGGCAAACTTAAGCATTTCTATATTGCACCGCTGACTAATCTTTAAGACTCAACCCATGACCTGTTTTACAATAGAACTGCTGTGCTCCAGACAGACAGTAATTTGCAGTTCTCATGAACGTGCGCTTTTAATCTGACAACTCCAAAGTCTAGATTCCAAGATAAAAAAAACGTATCGCTTTCATGTGCAATTACTAGGTCACACTGATTTTGTTTGGAACCATTTTAATACAGCTAACCTACAGTCTACCTGCCACTGACCTCATTAGATCAGCAGAATCCGAGCCAATGTCAGGTGTTACAAGTAACAAATGCCAGGCTCTGTACATAAATGCCATGTTGGTAGTTTTGTATTTGTACTGCTGCAAGTGAAGCTATCGCTTCCAGTTGCATTGTCCTTTCTGCCCAAATCCATTGGCCAGCAGTGGTTATTAACAAACGGCCTAACAGACAGCAGAATTCTCTTCAGTGGCTTTGCAGAAATCCCCAATATTGCACAGCTAAGCTGGTTCTTTTTAACAACATTTAAGGTAAGCAATTGTGGTATTGAAAGTTCTTGGAACATCCACAGGACCTCCCAAAGAGGCCATTTGGGAGAGGAGCAGGAATCAATGAGCGCTCTCTGGGTTCATGATAGCGTAAGGGTGTTGAAACGAGCTAAGGCAATGGGGTTAAAGCACAATTTGCTTTTCATTCCAGCTTTATTCCATGCAGATCTGTGACAAAATGTGCACTTTAAGTACAGTATCAATTCCAGTCTGTTGATCTACCCCAGGAATCATCAGCAGGACCACATCTCCTGTCCTCACTGATTTCTAGATATGGTTTCAGGCCAGAGCCGAAATATAGTAATTCTCCTGAACATCAAAGTGCTGACAGCCAAAGTACGAATAGGATAAGACGCCTTTATCTGAACCCATGATATCTTTGCCTACCCATAAACTACTTAAAATTCTGTACAATCACTATGCAATAATAATAAATCTTTTGATATAGCGCCGTATCACGTCTTTGAGACATCTCAAAGAGCTTCACAAGATATACTGCAAAGTGGATTTGACTATATTTTGTGGCCGAAACGGGGCAGCCAATTGCCCACAGCATTTATAAGTTTCTGTTATGAGTTAACAGGGCACCAGCTCGATTGGCTAGAACTGTTTGCATTGTGAAGAGAGGCATTTTAAGACTTGTTCACATAATGGTAAGTAACTGAGCCAGATTCCAAACACCATCTGCAAGCCAGGACCTGCTTTCTCCAGTTCCTAGAGGATGCTTCTAGCAGTGAAAACAAATAGAGCGTAACAGGGGGACTCAAAACATTGTAGACTGTGTTTTACATACAGTATTCCTCACGTGGCAAAACCCCAATCTTAGCTGTGTGGAGATGCGCTGAATTCTGTCTTTCCCTAGAGATTTCCTGAAAAATTTTACTGAATTATTTATTGTGAAGGGAAAAAATGTCTCCCTGCGATTCTGCAAAGCCTCAACTTGTCTCAGTCTCAGAGAGGGAAATCTGACCTAATGCTTTGCTTTACAGAAGCCAAATAAGCATGAAACTCATTTCATGCTTGTATATTCCTAATCCTGCCCCCACCCTAAAACAAAATCCTCACTATTTGCCTCGGGCCAACCACAATAAACTACATCAAGGTCACAGGATTGGAAGCAAAAATTAAATTCAAAGGAGGCTTAAAAGAGCAACAGTAAAACTTCTTTTTAAACAAAAAGTAATCATTAAGGTGCGTACCCCTTCTGAAATACACCAATTATAGCTTTGCTGGGTTTCTCTCAATGAAGGTGCATGTGGTAGTACAGAGTGTAGATCAGTGACTTCAAAAGAGTGCACTGTGTGTGAAGAGAATCCATGCGAATGATCTTATTCATCACAGCTCGGCATTAACATTTATTGGAAAATGAAGGGATTTGTATACGTTTTTCGGTGATTCAAGCTACAGCACTCACTCAACACATCGCTGTGGGATTTAATCTACATTCACCAAATCATTTGGCTTCAAAATAATAACAATCCTTGCATTTGATATAGTACATTATCGCGTCACTGAGATGCCTCAAAGTGCTTCATAGAACATACCTTAAAATGAAGTGACTTGTGTATTTTGTGAGTGAAACGCGGATTAAGTGACCAATTTTTTTTTTTAAAAAGGGATTATTACCCGCCAGAAAGTGATCCGCCATTCGACTAACAACTTGGTTCCTACTTACTGCCGGGTAAACAGAGGCCTGTGGAGTAAGGAAACTTGCCTAAGGTTTCGCCCCGCCTGGAATCCAACCCGAGTCCTCTCGCATGTGAGGCAAGTGCTTAACTACTACTCTACAGGATTCCACCTTTGTTAGAGATTCTTCTCTCTCTTGCGTATATTATCTGGAGGTAAGAGTCAAATTGCACAATTTGCGATGCAATCTGTAAACCCAGCACAGATTGTAAGAAAACAAGCTGAAAGGTGAAAAGTATTCTTTAAGGAATTTAATGCTGTACTACTATTTTTGCCTGTTTCTCCTGTTAAACAGCTTCATAAGAGATTTCAAAGCATACTTATGAGAAAGAAGCCGATACTCACATTTATATAATTTGCATTGATGTAGTCTTCTGTACCGTTTAAAATAACCCGTGTTGCATCATCTGTAATAGAAGCAAAAAGGTTGGCACCAACAAATAGAGTCAAATGCATTCAAAAGAAATGTTTTCTTGTATCCTTTAACCTCAGGCTTCCTACAGTTGAATAAAAGGACATGGTTATCTCTCTGGGCAATTGTACATTTGCAGTTCACGCAGTAAGTGCTGTAAATAATAAAGCTAGCTCGACATTGGGATGGTATAACCATAGTAAACCCCCAACCTACAGGACGGATATCTGGGAAGGCAGGTTATTGAAGTACATTGATGTGACAAGGCACGGCCATGGGTTGAAGGCGCACGAATATAAAATATCCATTCACTTTATCTTGCACAGTGAGCTGAGGTCCTAACATGGGGCTTGAACCCACAAGCTTCTGATTTAGAAGTGAGAATTCTAGCAGTTTAGCCAGATTGACTAATCCCCAGCATTGCAAAAGGTTGAGTTGAGGGCACTGTGGCTGGCAGTGCGGACTGTTTTAAGCAAAAAAAGTGAGTGCTACAAAATGCTGATTCAAACCAGAGTTGGGAATTTTAAATGTCGGAATATAACTTATTTTGTCAAATTTAACTTTCAATTTGCAAAAGAGGTAAGAACAAGTACTTACAATATCTGTGCGCAGTTTAGGTGTCACATTAACCCACAAAACACAATGTCACTACTCTTTATAGTATATCCTGTGAAGCGCATCGGGACGCCCTCCTGATGTAAAAGGCGTTATATCAAACACAAAGATTAGCGTTGCTACGATATTTAACATATGTCAAATTGACCACATAATTCTTTTACGTAAATAATGCTGGGTAAAGGACATTTCTACACATTTATGCGGTTGACAGATACACTTCAAAACAGAGGTCCTTTTGTTTTCTTCAGGGGATTAAAAGCAAACAGATGGTGGCACATTTCCCAAAGAAAAAACAAAACAGCTTTCTGTTGTAAGATTATGTGGATCACAAATTTCCAGCCTTCAAGTGACTGCAGATTTCGCAAAACAGAAACAGAAACCAAGCATTACTTACAAGGTGAGATGTCTCTGTATCTGTTTTTGGAAATATTTCGAGGTAACTTAGCATGTTGCATTGTCATGCCAGGCTTTTTCCTGTACAGTTGCTATGAAAAGGAAAGAGGAAAAAAAAGTAGTTAGCTTAAATATATGATGAATACACAGCAGAAATAAACTACTTTCTTAATAAAAACAAGAATGCGATTTGCGATATTGTTTGCCAGCTGAGAACATCCGCGGGTGAAATTCACTGCTGTAAATAACATTTCTTTCTTAAAGTCAGTACATACACACAATTGGTAGCATCGGAGTGTAATTCTCCTATGGAGCGCAGCGGTATTCTCTCTGCATAGTAACAAACCTTGTATTTGATACAGCACCTTATCATATCGTCGAGACATCTCAAAGCACTTCACAGGATTTACTGTAAAGTGGTTTGACTGTGTATTTTGTGGGTGAAGCGCGAAAAAGCCTATGAAGGGAGCTGACTATTTATTTTTTAGTTGGGGGATTGCTGACCAGGACACTGGAAGAAACTCCCTTCTTTTTGAATAGCGCTCACATAAGATAACATCTTGGAGCAACGCATAATTCAGGGTTGGATGCTGAGCAAGGAAAAATGGGGAGGGGGAGGTGAGCATAGGTGAGGTGGTAGCAGAATTCGTAATAGCTTTTAAAAGGGAGTAGGACAAATATTTGAAAAGAAAATATAACAGGATTTGAAAAAAATGGCAATGGAGTGGATTTAAGTGGATAACACCTTCTTCTCAGAGCATACAAATTTGCTAGGTGAAAGAAGACCAAGATCCATCCAGTTCACCTTCCACCATCCTGGAAGTCGCATGTCAAGTCCAATAATAGCCCGAGATATTATTTCCTAACAGAAATCTATCTAATTTATTCTTGAAAGAATCAACACTTTCTGCTGCCACTGTCCCCCTAGGGGAACCTGTTCCACACGTTTACTACTCGCTCTGCCGTGTAAAATTCTACAAATCCAAGCAAAACTACCAGCCCTTTAAGATCGCTCGCCCCAATGTGACCTCGATGGTAAGTTTAGAAAACTCATTCAGGGAACACCATGTCCCAATCCTTACTCATCCTTTCCACAGGAACTACAGTCACCGCAAAAGCCGTGGAATCTGTCTCTGGCCCAGTGACAAGATATACCAGCCAGAGAACATGCAAACCAGATCCACCTATTAAATCCATTTGCCGTGCAGCTGTTTGGTGTTGTCAGTGTTGGGTTAGGAGATTCCAATCTCTGCTCATTAACCACTACTTTTTTCCCTCAGCTCGGACTACCTAGAAAGGGGGATACTGTACTTAACTGCCACCAGCAACTGGTTCGTTCCTTGAGGGGAGATACCACACTTATGCTTACCACTTCCCTACGCCAGCGTGCTGGAGGATTGCATGGAGTGGAGTCCTGTAGCTCAGTGGTTAGAGCACTCGCTTTGCAAGTGAGAGACCTGAGTTCAATTCCAGGCAGAGGGCGAAACCTTGGGCAAGTTTCCTTACTCCACACAGAGCCTAATAATAATCCCTCCAAAACCAAAACAATAATAAATTGGTCATTTTCAATCTACGACTGTTTGTGGGACATTGCTGTGCGCAATTGGCTGCCGCGTTCGCCCACAAATATACAGTCAATTCACTTTACAGTGTGTTCTGTGAAGCGCTTTGGGACGTCCTCCTGACGTGAAAAGCGCTATATCAAATGCAAGGATTATTATTATTATTATTATTATTGAACCTGCGGCTCAAAGCATTGCACCAATATGTTAACCTGGCATATTAGGTTTTCTGAATGAAGGACTACAGTAGAAAGTGCAAAATGGCCCTTGTTGAACTTGGCTGTGCCAGATGCACAGATGAGGTCAACAACCAAAGATAGAAATCTTTGGTAGGAGATTGAAAATGCAGCAGCAACACTGAAGGCACAAAGAATTATAGAATTGTACAGCACACAAGGAGGCCATTCGGCTCATTGTGCCCATGCCGGCTTTTTGAAAGAACTATCCAAATTGATCCCACTCCCCCGCTCTGTTCCCATAGCCTTGCAAATTGGTGCTCCCCAAATATCTATCCACTGCTCTCCTGAAAGTTGTTATGAAATGATTTGCGGAAATGAGGATTAAGCAAGTCCTCCTGACATGAAAGGGAGAGAAAACTATCATAGCCCTAGAGGTTCGTAAGACAACATATTCCACATATCTGTGGCCAGGGAGACGAAAACAGACACACATGAACAGAGATGGGGGTGTGGGCGCGTGTCAAATTCCGAGCACTGATTTTTTTTAATCTTCGAGGAAGCTGCCTAAATGCGGATTAAGCAGAGGTGAAAATATCCATCTGAGGAAGAAATCATTTCATAACAATAAAAGTTTAATGAGATACATCGCTTTATCCTTAAACCACAGCTATCACGTCCATTTTTAAACTGGTCCTATTTGCCAGGAAGCAAATCGCTGAATCTATGTGCAAGTAAAAAGCAGAACATGCTACAATCAATCAGAAATGTCAATTGGGAACTAAAACAATTTGAGCTAAGATATAATCTTTATTTAAAGGAAGAAAAGAACGCTGTCCCAATGGGTTGTTGAGCAGTCTATATCCCTTTTCATTAAAGTGCTTATAGTCGGTCACCAGCTATTCAGGTCACGGGATTTTGCACAGTAGAAGGATTAAGTAAAAGCTTGTGGAAACAACCAGCTGAGCAGAAGATGTCTGAATTTTCTCAGCACACGCCCAGCATTACAAAAAAAATTACAAACTTCCTTATTTGTGAGCAACACAACAACTTATACTTGTAATAATACTAATATTAATAATGGGGGTTGGGATCAGGAGGGGTGAAGGGCAGGAAGGGTGGGAATAAGAGGGTGACTGATTCCTCCTGACAGCAAGTCCTGCTGTTGTGAAAGGCGCTATACAAATGTCATTTGCTGTTGTTGTTGTTGTTGTGCTTTCTATTCTAATTCCATCTTCATTTACAAAATAAACTTTAAAAAGCACCTTTTTTAAAAAAAATGTTTTGGTCAGCCTGATGAGGAAGCCAAGTTAGCCACTTTAGGGCTGTGTGTTACCTCAGGTGTGCATATCGGATATTATTAACCTTAGGCCCAAAATTCCCTCGCCTTAAGTAATAATCCTTATCACACCATAAACCTCAAATTGCTTCACAGTTATTACTGTTAAGTGTACTGTCTGTATTTGTAGGCCTAAACAGTAGCCAATTTGTGTACAGCAATGACCCACAAACAGCTTCAAAGTAAATGACGAATTTAACCTGCAGGGTTGCTGGCTAGAACTCTGAGAAAAAAAAGTCTAGTCTTGTTTTGAATCGCCTCATAGATTCTTTAACGTTTGGTTTCCTGAATAGGCAGATGAGACCACAGTTTCTCTAACGACGACAACTTGCACTTACATAGCGCCCTTCACGCCAGGTGACATCTCAGGTTTTGTGTGCAGTGCTCACCCAAAACTGAACTGGAGCGCCAGCTTCAACCATAAGCTGAATGTCCACCACTTGAATCCACAAGCGAGGGTAATAATAACTCCTTGATTTGATATCGCACCTTATCATGTCTTTGAGAGTGGTCTTTGCATTTTTTAAGATGGTACAGAGTTTTGAAATGTTCCGAAATTCGATTTAAAGATTGCTTGCTGCGGTCAAGAAAAAAAGATGCTCACTTCAAACTGTGCGAGGATAGTGCTGGTCTCCAGACCTTCCTGTAACTGCCCCATTGACTCCTGTAAGGCATCGTCGTCTTGCTGCCCTCCATCCAGAGGGGATTTCTCTGGAATGTACTGAAAATCCGGCTCACTCTCTGCCTTTTCCTCCACAACATCATAAACAGCTTAAGGGGAAACGGGAGGAAAAAATGTCAGAATCATTTTACTTTAGCAACTTTTTCCTTCAAAGGATCCATAATAATAATCCTTGCACTTGATACAGCACTTTATCACGTCATTGAGACGTCTCAAATCACTTCACAGCATATACTGTAAAGTGAATTGACTGTATTTTGTGGGCGGAATGCGGCAGCCAATTGCGCACAGCGGCGTCCTGCAAACAGTCGTGGATTGAGTGACCACTCAAATAGAGTTATTTATCTATCAAATAGATAAGCAATGATTATGAAATAATCCTTACATTTGGTTTAGTGCCTTTCACGTTGGAAGGACGAAAGAAGTGAGAAGGGAATGGGTAAACTCGGCTCACGTGATCAATGATTGTATTCAGTTAATGGGACCAAATTTTGTTCCAGGCAATAAGATGTCCTACAATACTTATTCTTATCAAGGTGAGGTGATTAGTTGCCATATTTATGTCTACATGCAATGGCATGATATTTATAACTGCCAGCTCAGTCTAACTAAAGGGAACTGAAGTCTCGCTGGAACATTCAGGCATGGTTACCAATTCCTCTCAGGAGTATTGGCTTCACTACCAAACCTCAAGATATTGAACCTCTTTGTGTTTAGAAGCTGGTGGCTAGAATTGAACTCATTAAATCACAACAAAAGGGAACTGGATATCTACTTCAAAAGGAAATAATTGCAGGGCAATAGGATAAGAGGGGGGAGTGAAACTTGTTGGATAGCTCTTTCAAAGAGCCAGCACAGGCATGATTGGCCGAATGGCCTCCTTCTGTGCTGTAAGATGCTATGAATAGATTGTAGGAGAGAATGTTCACAATTATTCTGGCAGAAGCAAACATAGGAAGAAACAATTTTAATCTCAAATTGGATGAAAAAATTATTAAAATCATGAATTGAGCACATGATACCGTCTTATCTCTATCAGCGAGCTTGATGTCACATTGATAACATTAAAGTCCCCAAGGTCAGTGCAATTAAATACGAGTCTAGCAGGTTAATTGCTTCCATAAAACATACAAAACACAAAGGAATTGAGCTTTTGATTTATTTAGGCGTGCAGGTGGTTTATTTTTAATATTTTATTATATGAACATTTATGAATGTTATATTTCATACAGAATGTAGATAATACAGATGCAGCCTATGACTATGACACTCAATGGGAAAATTAGTTTGGAAAATATAGTTCAATTGACTAGTGAAAATGAAAGATTTTTAATATTAACATTATGAGTATTTTTAGCATCATAAAATCTCAAAGCACAGAAGGAGGCCATTGGGCCCATCGTGCCTGTGCTGGCTCTTTTATAGAGCTACCAACTAGACCCACTCGCCCGCTTTTACCCCATAGCCCTGCAAAATAGAATCATAGAAGTTTACAGCACAGAAGGAGGCCATTTATCGCTTTGTGCCACCAAGTCTAACGCCTTTTTTTTCCCCCAAAAAAATATTTTGCTTAGGACTTTGGTCATCACTGGTAAGAGACCAAAAGATTTTACACTGGAATGTAGCTACACTTGCAAGGAGTTGGCGACTTTTGAAAACTTACCATTGGGCCGAACTAATAACAGCAGCTCTTCGGTGCGAGTCTCACAACTAGCTTTGATGAACATGACAACCTGGTCGTGTGTGTACTCGGAGATATCTTTGCCATTGATCAGTACAACCTGATCACCTTCATTGAGCCGCGGAACACAAATGTCAGCCTGCACAAGGACAAAAAAAATGTTACCCGTTTATTATAGCAGCAATTTGCCAACTAAGAAAAAGGACTAACATTGAGTTGAAACTGTATGTAGAAACCCCCAGACTGGGTCCGAAACAAATTGTGATTCTGTGCGCTACGAATCCATTCCATGCACTAAAATTCCATCCTGTTTTCGAACTCCCGCCAGCCACGTGATGCCCACAGCTTGACACTGACTGGTTTCCAAAGAGCCGGCACAAGCACAGTGAATCGAGTGGTCTTCTTCCGTGCTGTAATATTCTATGATTTGTTTTAAATGTGAGGGAGGATTTCTTTTTTTACTTATTTATTTTAAATATTAGGATAAGATAAGCATTTAGCAGGAAAATCCGACTTGCCGGACTGGGTCTATTAGTCCGGTCAGCCAGGGAGTTTAGTGTATTTGTAAAATGCCGGCTCGTGATTGCCAAACACGCCAAAGTGCAATAAGAGTATGAAGAGAGCAACACCATTCATTACTCGATGATCAGGGGCAAGTGGATTGGTTCAGGGATACAAGTTGTGAGTCACTCTGCTCCCACCCGATGGAACTCCACTCTGCGGTCCCTCCACCTCTCCCTTGCCTCATTCAAGACCCGTCTCAAGACTCTCCTCTTCGACCGTGTCTTCGGTCACGCTCCTTCCCTCCCTGCCCTCCACCCTCCCCAATCCCGACCCCCAGCTCGGGTACGAAACATTGATCGTCCAGCGTCTTAGGACGTTCTTTCGACGTGAAAGGCACTATACAAATGTAATTTTGTTGTTGTTGAGTCATATTTTATGCATTGAGTTTGAGAAGAAATTACAAGTCAATATTGAAGGATATTTACACACAGATTAGAATCGCTAACAAATCCATCCATTTTGTCCTCAATGTGACAGCCAGTCATGTATCAATTTGGTGAAATCTGGAGCGATACAATTCCAATCGACTTGAAATTGAAGCATTGAGGTGTTCAATTAACAATGGACAGATAAGACACACTGCACTCTCTCTTAAGACAATTTCTTTTCCCTTGGTTCAGAAGACAGTAAACTACAGACATCATTGCTTTATACAGCCCTGTGCAAATTCTTAGCTACTCACTGGTGTTCCAGGTGCCACTCGTGATACTATTACTGGCATTTTCTGATCAATGCCTCCCTGTAAAGCAAAAAAAAGACAGAACTCAATATTTCCCTCAATAGTAGTTTAATATGATAGTAGGAACATTCCAGCATCATTTAAGCTATGTAAGCCTGAGAAACAATTGATGTAGGTGGATGGGAGCGCTTTAATTATCCCATAGGTTCCCATTACCAGGATAAAAACACGTAGAGAGGACTGGGTGCACCATTAGTACATACCAGAATACATGCTTCCATCACGCATGGGTGCATGCTGTCTCAACTGATCTGATCATTTGGTTTTGTTAAAGCGAACAATAAACTGAGAACAGCTGATGCGTGAAACGAGACGTGTACATTTCACCTTCGATAAGGAAGAATACCGAAAATTGAGAGCAAGTTGCCCTCCTACCTTGACATTGAAACCAAATCTCCCATTCTCATCTGCCTTCATTCGAATCGGGACTAGATTGTCATGAGGAACAATACCATTTGGCTAGAGAAAGTACACAAAAGAGGAAATTAGGTTCAGTCAGAAAGCAGTGAGTAGGAGTAGTTTTCTGAAATGCGTATTGAAAATTAAAGAGAACGTAGTAGAATAATAGTTATTTCTAGTTGATTCTCTGGAGGTTGGCCTATGAATTACTGGATCTGCTTCCCTTTTCCCTCTCAGTGCCAGCAGATGCCAGTAAAGCGAATTGACTGTATATTTTGTGGGCGAAACCCGGCAGCCAATTGCGCACAGAGGTGGCCTACAAACAGGACCTTAAACATCACCGATTTTTGTCTCTACACATTCTGAATTACAAAATAACTTACCGTTGATTTTTCTGACGTTATCAGACCATCGTGGGAGTGAGGATCCAGCTCCTGTAGGGAAGTGTTAAACTGCTGCGAGTGGATTGAAGCATTTTTTTTCTGTTTGGGTGGTAATGCTGGTGGCTGTCCATCTCCCCCTGTCTCCTGAGTTCTGAAAGACGAAGGTGACTTTTTAATGCATTGTCCCCTGCATAAATACTTCTCCCAAAGCCACACAAGTACTGTATAGTGCTTATCATTTCCATCAGCTATCTTACACCACACACACACACACTTCTTTATACAGTGGGTTATTGCAATATGGAATTTGCTGCCATAAACTCTAACTGATGCACAGATCCCAAAATCCTTTGAAAGGGAATTAGATAGATGGCTGTCAATGAAGAAGGGGGACTGGGGCTGGATGGCCTTTTTTTGTTGTCACAATCTATGACTGATTACACTGAAGAGTTTATCATCAAATCAAAGCCCTAATGGATAGGGTGGTCCAACGAGAAAGCTTGCCCGACAGTAATCTCAATGTCAAGCTGAGCAGTTTTAGCTGGTTAGACTCCAGCAGTTACCCCAATGCACCCTCTGGGTCCCCAAACCTTGGCTCTTGCCAATCTGCATCTAATACTTTCCTGAATCAGTTACGCAGGATGCATACCTCCAGGGAGAGAGTGTGCATTCCATTCTAACAATCTATCTCTGAAATTTGGACCAAAGTTTGGTCTGGATACTCGTAAGCATGGTGATGGGTTTCCGCGTGTGTCGGACACTCGGCTGGCAAAAAACAAGACAAATCAGTGATGGAAAGTTACATTTTTAAGCACCATATATTTAAATTGCCTGTTAACAGCAAGGAAATGGAAAGCAAGAGGTTGCAGAGGAACATTTGGAAGCATAGCTGGATTTAAACCTGCTATTGTGTTGATACTGCAATTGAGATGAAGTGCCGCAGAAAACAACTCCTCACAGCTATCTCAGAAGCAGGGCTCCAGCAGGATTCACTTTGTGCTTCTCAATCCCAATTTATAATGCACTCGACACCGTGAAGCGTATAAATTCATTGTGATAAGCATTAGAATTGACCAACGTCACAGCACGGTGTTCATTATTCTGGTATTTGGCATTATGTAATCCGCCCTAGCGAAATGAAACTTTTATAAGTGAAATACAACGTCTTCCAAAATACAGGGTCGCTTTCACCTGTCTCTTGTCAGGCGCAGTTCTTGCAAACGGGTTATTGTAAGAAACCTATATCCCACCTCACTACAAACACAGATCTCACTAGCCAACAACAACAACTTGCATTTATATAGCGCTCTTCACACTGGGCAGCGTCTCAGAACTCAACAGTGGCGAAGCCAGATGCTGAGTCGGGGGGGGGGGGGTTGGGAGGAGGTGACAGTAAGCACGGTCGAAGAAAAAGGTCTTCAGTCATGATCTAAAAGAGGGGAAGGAGGGGGCAAGGTGGAGGGGACGAGGAATAAGCAGGAGGCCAGAGCCAGCCATGCGGAGGCAGCCAACCTGAAGGTGAATAGGGGAGTTGGTAGTTGTGGCACAGAGCAGCACTGTTTTTTTTCCCCCAAAGCCACCAAAATCTATTATCTCTCAGAAGTGAAACCGTGCATCCCTCTGTGACATATCAGCATAACAAGCTGCGAGGTTCAACAATTGGGAGCTTTGAGCAACAACTGTGGTGCTTTATGTTTATCCAGCCAAGGTTGAGATTCATTATGAATGGTTAGGTAAAAGCAGCTTATTTTGCAGACCAGAAACGGTATTCGATGCTGCAGCCTTAGGCAACCTACGTAATGATGCAGCGGATTGCTATTGCAAGGGTGTATGTTTGAACCTTTTTTACAAATGTAAATGCTAATATTATGCAGTATGTGTTCATTAAAATCAGCATCTGCCACATATATTTAAAATCTAACTTGCTCTAGTTTTAATCACTGCGCAACAGAAAACATACGCAGGGGTCAAAACGTATCACAACAGGAAATGTTTGTGGTACTTTGGGATCCCTCCATACAAGTGGCACAAAAAAGCCACTGCAAACCAAACACATCTCTCCAAAGGTTAACCACAAGATGGTGAGCTAACGTTAAAATTCCAGCAGTCTCCGTACACAATTCTTATCAAATCACAAACAAAAAAGACTACAATCATCTTTGCAAATTATACCTTACTTGCTTTTGGTCTGTACTGCTGTTTGAATTGGGCTGATTTTACTGTCTATAAATTTATATTTCAAATTGCTTTCGAAGGAGCTCAAAACAAAAGAAACTCCTTTTATTTCCCTCTCCTCCACAGGTCCCAATCACTCTTTGTTAAGTAAGTTTGCTCAAAAGGTTAGAGGTGAGGAAAGAAGATTTTTTTTTTAACCCAGCGAGTTGTTTCGATCTGGAATGGACTGCCGGAAAGGGTGGTGGAAGCGGATTCGACTGTAGCTTTCAAAGGAAATTGGATATGTACTTGAAAAGGAAAAAAATTGCAGGGCTTTGGGATAAGAGCAGGGGAGTGGATCGAGTTGGGACATTTCCTGTTTTGACATGTTTCGACCCCTGCGTGTTTTCTATTGCACAGTGATTAAAACTAGAGCAAGCTAGATCTTTCAAAGAGCTGGCACAGGCCCGATGGGCCGAATGGCCTCTGTCTGTGCTGTTAAGATTCTATGATTAGATGGTTTCATTTCTGCTGAATTTTTTACTCCTGAATTACAATGAACAAAAAACAATGCAGCAGAGAGAGGAGATAAAAGTGCTGTGCGAATCCACAGTACATATCACACAGGTTACATAACCTGAAAGGCGTTATTTGTTAACTTTTTAAGCTTAAGAGAACAAAAGTCTCCTGAAAGCTATTGGGAACTAATGCAGGCACTAATCCAACTGACATGAAATTGGGTTGATAACACTTTGATTAAAACATGCCACTAAATCCATTTTGAAGGAATACATTTATTTTTATGAAGTGTTAGCTGTGGCCCACCTACTTTTCAGCAATGCTTGGCAGTGCACCCAATGCAAGTAAGGTGTGATATCGCCCACACTGCCGCAGCAAGATTTAGGTCATTAATAGAACAGAGCGAAATCATCTATATTTGACTATTGCAAATTCCGGAGTGTTTTATAAAACTCAATGTGGAATTGACGACAACATATGGCAAGAAGCAATTTAAAATACACTAAAAGAATAAAAGTTAGATAGCAAAGCGAAGGAGACTTTTCTGCTTGGGTTTTTAAAAAACAAGAAAAAAAAGGATTTGCTATGAATTCGGTGTGAATTTCCTACTCATCCACAAAGCCAGCCTCTGGAAAGCAGAACATTGACTCACACCCAAATTTGCTCAAACAACTAGAGCATGTTAAACGCGAACAGAAGAAACTTACGGAGAGGTCTCCAGAGTAATACTGTTTGCTTGAGTGGACGAAGGAGACTTGTGGTTAGCAAAGACTTCGCTTGATGAATCGTGCACTGCATGATCGACCAAGTGTCCGACAGAAGAAGGTCTCAAACGGCTTCCTTCCTGGGTAAACGTGGAGTTTCGACTTCATTTCCAAGAATTTGTTTGGTGGTTTTGGTCGCAGGGGCAAAGAGAAGAGAAAGAAAACAAATTAGACACATATCACAAGAAAGTTAACTCTCACAGCAAACATCTCTCTACCATGCCGGGGCTCTACCTAATAGCTCTAAACCTCAACAAAATAAAGGACCCACAACATAAGTATGTTTTGCCCACAACAGGGAATTCTCTTTACAATATATTGAGATGTCTCAACAACATAATGCACTATATCAAATGCAAGGATTGTTTATTCTTATTGAGTCTTAGTTTACATAACTACTCTATTAAAGAGAGTAATGTTATATTCCGGTTCAAATAGCAGATTACATTTAAAGGCCGAAGATTTGCAGATTTAAAGATTTGAGGAGGATATCTTTGAGCGAGCATCAACTGAATTGGGCATCTTGGAGATTAATGCTGACTTTCCATAAATACTAACACACACTAACAAACAAAACTCTATACATATCAAGGTGAAATTGAGTCAGAAAAACGTCTTGAAATGCAAATGATAAACATGAGCTGGACTCTCCTAATTTTCTGTGGACCACATTCCCCCCTCAATGCTCATCCATCTCCAAAGTTATACATCACATGGTTTTGAAACCACTGCAGGGCAGTCAATACTGGAGTCTTTGCATCTTTCAAAATACATTTTGCTTTAAAAAGCTTCTATATTAAGAGGTCATTTGCAAGGTTCACAAAAGTTGAACAGCATTGCTTAGCAATGGCAAAGCACTTGCTAACAAAGGGTAGGACGAACGTTAAAACAGATCTGTGCAGAAAGCAGACGTCTTCTCAATCGCACAAAGTCTTACAGACAGCTAGGCAAGACCGCAAGACTGGCATGGAGGGTGGATATCGAGAGGTAGATTTGGATGTCATCGGGACACACATTTGATGTTTGCGGAGGATATTTGAGATGTCTAGAAGACGTGAAAAGCGCTAAATCAAGTGCAAGGATTATTATTATATTACAGCAGGAGGTTGGGTGGATGGCATGTAGAGGGGAGGGGCGGGATAGGTAGACAGAGAAAAGCTGACGACAACAATGCTAATCTGAATAAGAGACATTGTTTGGTAGCTCTTGAGTCCACTTCTTATCCCTTCAAAAGCAGTTCCTGACGTTTAGGACTTCATTCTGCTCGCACCATAGAAATCATACCACAGAAGGCCATCTGGCCTTTTGAGCAAATGCTGGTGATAGCCTCTTCATTGGAGACATATAACATAATGATCATCAGATCGTTTACTTGAAACAATTCAAGGATTTTTTTTTGGGGGGGGGGGGTGGGTGGAGAAATGCATTCAAGCAAAGGTAGTTATAGAAGAAAGAGAAATACAAATATCAAGAAATATCAGAGGACCGAGGAAATATTCTTTGTAGTTAAATAATAATCCTTGCAATTGTCCTATCACGTTACTAAGGCATCTCAAAATGCTTCACAGAATATATTGTGCTGTACACAAGGTGTTGAAGACTGTGTATTTTGTGGGTGAAATTCCCATCAATACATCTTTTTCCACACTCCTCAGTCTTCAACAAGATTCAGGTTTCCTTACCTTTTTGCCATGACTGAATTGGGCAGCTCTGCTAGAATACACAAGGAAATAGCCAAACACACACAACACACACACAGGTAGAAAAAAAATCTACAGCCTAACTCAACTCAAGTCAGAGTACCAATTTGTTCTACATCTGCTGTTAATGCTGTCATAACTGAGCTTCATCTGAGATGAATTTAATCGCCAGGCTTAGAAATAGAAAACAGAACACACAGAAGATTATTCGTCACGATATTTTGAATCCAATTGAGACACCAACCGTGTTGTGATGCAGCTAAACTATACCAACAACATATTCATGCATGTGCACGAGTTGTCTACTGGAATGTGCTGAGAGTTAAATCAAATTCAAAGCACAACTAATATGTGCTGTGCCATATGGACATAACAAAATGTGCCACAAGTATTCACTTTCGCCAGGGTTAATCTCAAACTCCTGGTGTTTGCTCCTGCTGGTTGTATTTTTGTCGGAACATCAATGAATTGATGAGGAAAAGTGCTGAACTGGCAGTGAAAAATGCTACACTGACTAGCCTCAAAAATCTCTTCAATCAGCTTCAATTTAACACTGAATGCGACAAAACACAACTTCTCTGGCTTCAGATATTATCATATGGATGCAGTTTATTTTGAGTAATTCTATTTCACTCAATACTTTGTCTTTTTAAAACTACTTGCCAATTTTAATTATAAATAAATCATCCTTTTTGGGGGCAAGCGAACATACACACACACACACACACACACGGAAATACTCTATTAAAGAGTGGAGAAATACAATTCATGTTATAAACTGCCCAATTAAACTGCCATCAATAATTCTGCTTCTTAGGGTGAAAATTCCTTGGTTACTCACTGGTTTGGGGTTCCAGGTGGGGAACGTGAAGGCAGGCTCTGTGTTTCAAGTCGATCATCTGACAATGAATTCCTGCTTACCGAATCCCAGTCCATTCCACCGATCAGTTTTCTTGTCAAAGGTTTACTGGGTGATCTGGGCCATTTTAAGGTGGCAGTGTTTGGGGGGGGGGGATGGGGAGAAAGAGAAATAAATTGAACTTGTTAAAGCGTCGATAGGGGCTGGGGAGGAGATAAAGAGAATCTTACAATAGCTGTAGGGCTCGATAGATGTTAATCCAAAATCTACCTTCAAAATAAGTCCAGGGCTACATGATAAAGAAATGTTTGTTAAAAAAAAACCTCACTCAGCAATACTGAGCTTTCGACAATACCATACCTTCAGTTAGCAAAACATATTCAGCCACGCCTTTAACAGTTAATTACCCTGTCAAAAAATCCTACATGTTATGATTCATCAATTCATTAACAGCACAATTAACCAATTTGATTGTAGCAAACTCTGAACGTAGTTTGTGTGTTAATATGCAGGACTCTTATCTTGATGAATTTCCAGTCGAGCATTAGGCAAGACAAATGTTCTCCTCACCGTTGGTAAACCCATCATAAAATTAGAACGGCACTTGTACACAGCACTACAGGAAAGTATGTGAGGTACATCTATCTCCGCAACCTCAACCTTCACACATTTACTGCACCGAACTGTATCTCGGCATTTCACAAATGACACAAGTCACGAGATCTGAAAACTTCCGCCCTTTATACGTTTTCCGACGGTGTCTACAGTAAATGGAAAATAAAAATAATCGTGCTGATTAATGGACACCTACATCTGTCTACTCATCTTTCATTGAACTAAGCCATTCAGATGTTTAGATAACAATTTAAGACATTTACCCGTCATGTGCGCATTAAATGCACTCACTGCTGTTCCCTTTTAACAAATAACTGTGCTGGAGTATCAAAAGCTACACTTATTTTTTATTTTCTAACCATTGAATTGATAAAAAAAATTAACTGAAAGAGTTTTCACTTCTAGGTCCCACTCGCTTGAAGACTGGTTTGATCTGCTTCCTGTTCACTTGGGAAATTTTCGCAGAAACTGTGACCACATTGCATCAGTGAGCTGTTCTGAGCTGCGGTTTCTCTGACCACTATGGTTGTCAGTGCTCTGCCATTTTCATATCTCCACATTTGGTTGCAGTGTCACCAACCATGGAAAATATGCCAATGAAATTAGCAGTGAGGTACTATTGTTCGAAAAAAAGATGCAAAATAAGCTTCTTTTCTGTGGAGAAAATGTAGCTTTCACATTTAAATTATTTCATGCTTCAATACCCGTTGTCTAAATAAAATGAGTAATGGATCATAATAAAGCAACACTGTAATAGGATACGATTTGCAATTAAGCACTGTGCTTATCTGTGATTTTTAAAAAATATTTTTATAACGTGAATATAAAGCGGAAACAGCAGGACAGAAAGTAAATGATTTACAGCACATAACAAAACTCTGAATTAAGTACGAAACTAAAAAAATGAATAACCTGCCTTCCTCATTCTGCTAAATTAGGTAGTCTTAATGAACCCCCAAAAACTCTTCATTCATTTTTGAAGTGGAGATGGATCAAGAGAGGGGAATTTTATTGGAACCCTTTACTGAAAGAGTAACTTACAATTGTTGGGTTTCAGATCAGTTTATGTTTAAAGCATCAGTTTAAAGCATACCTTATGCTTTGTAGTATTTTGAAAAATAAGTTGTAATACATATCAAAATAATCAGAGGTATTATAATAATAGTAATGCTCCCATTATGAAGCTTAACCTCAAAATGAGTCCCCAGTTATTTTTTTGTTGACCTCCAGCATATACATGAATATACATGAATGTATATAAACATTGGTCAGCTCTTTTAACTGAATCCCACCCCCCTGGCTCGGGGCCAGGCTCCACAATTGTCAAGCATTCTGAGACGCTACCCTGGGTGAGGGGCGCTATATAAATGCCAGTTGTTGTTGGGCCACTACAACAACCATCTGGAATTATGCAGCAACATTCGCATAGCGGAACAATTTACAAAGATGATGCCAGGTACTGAGCAAGAGAGATGGGCAAGGTGGCCATAGGCATGCACAAAGAGGTCATTTATTTCAAAGCTGTCTTTTTGAAGACAGTCAGCAAGCCAGAAGGTTCGCGGCATGAGCATGTCCATCCTGACATACTGGTTGAAGGCTCGGTTGCTGATGGTGGCTGCAAAATTTAGGCCTGAGTTTGCTGAGCGGAGGGGGTGAGCAGAAGAGTGAAGCTGAAGTGAGATACTGAGGTATGAAGAAGCGAGGGCCTGAAGGGATTTTACTGGTGAGGATGTTTCAGGAGCCAACAATTAGGATTGGATTGGTCAGGCAAGGTGTCCGACACTTACCGAATTAACAACAGCAACTTGCATTTATGTAGCATCCCTCACGCAAGGTAGCTTCACTGAGCAGAAAACCATCACGTACGTAAAAGCAGGAATTCTATCCTTAGCAACAGTCTCAATTTCAGGCAGGAGAAGGCCATGGTCTCCTCATCTCATCTATTCAGCAAGTTCCCCAAAAGATTCTTTCAAGCCATCAGTTTTAAAAATCTAATAACCCTGAAGATGACAGTCTGTGCTGTTTGTTGTTTTACAAATTGATCACTTTGAAGCAAAAAGTGTATCCTCTGTTCTCTACTACTGCCTTGATTTTGAGGATGTGACTCCTGGTTCCAACATTTTGTACACAGCAGAAAACCTGAGTTGGGTGTCTTCACATTAGGGTCTTTACTGACATTAATTTCCTGAATGTCTCACTCTGAGAAGTTTGACATTTCAATGCTTGCGAAATAAACTTGAGTGTCCAATAACTACCAGAGGTTGAGGCGTTCTCTTCATAAGCTTTCAATTCAGCCAATGAACAGAAAGACATTTGTTGGTCTTGTATTTTTATTTCCTTTATTCTTATAAGGTCAATACAGATAAGACCAAAATGATTTGCTTTTTAGAGGGGGCGGGGGGGTGAAGGGGGGAAGTGGTGGAGAAAAACTTCCTACAGATCCCTTCATTCATTCACTGTCTTGAGTCCTATTCTGAGCACACCGTCTCCAAGATAACTGCAAAAGTCTCATCTGACTGATCCCTAACGGCTAAAATATTTGCATTTGAGATGCTAACGATTTATCACGTCAACACGTCTCCAAGTATACTTTGAAATAAACTTCGAGAGAAATTGTAAGCAATTTACCACAAACCCAAGTCTATTTGTTTGCAATTCTTGACGATGGAATGAATAAAGACCAGGGTAACATAAAATCTGCTAATTTTCAAAATAATATCATAAGATCATGAATATACATTTGAACCACCAGAAAAAGGTAGACAACATTTCTGAAGGACAGCACCATCGACAATGTAGGACTCTCATAGTACAGCATCTTAGATTCTGAGATCAAGTCTTGGTATGGGATTCACACTAAATCTTCTCATCCACATTAAGAGTGCTAATAATTACAGGAAATATTGCTCCAACAGGCGCAAACACCAAACCATAAACTTAGTTAGGTGTTTTCAAAACTTCTCAGAAAACACTTTAAGCCTCAACCAGTTAATAAAATTTCGGTTTCACTTCTTTTTTAACTCGAACCATTTGCGCATTCAGAATTATTGGATGAGCCACACACGTAAGCACCGTGTTTGAGAGACATTAAAAAAAGACCCCCGACAGAAACGGAACAGACCTGGTTAGTTAGCGTGTCTTTAGAACCTAAGGCTGTAGCTCAAAGACTTCCATTCTATTCAATACACAAAAAACAATTCAAACGCAGCCACGGCTGGTTATCTGCCGGCTTATTATTAGCCGTACAGAAAGAAGCGCTGCTAAACCACTGCAAGTTTGCACTTTGGCAGAGCTCCACTCTTACTCAAATATACATGTTATCATCTGTCAGTAACCTTGAAAACGACATTGCAATGCAGAACAGTTGATGCTTTTCCCAGTTACCTACCTTTCCTGGGATCTTATTTTCCTTTCCTTAATTAAGTGACCAGTAGGCAAGCCGATTTAGATACAGCTTGGGTGGAGGTAGTGGAATAAAAAGAAACTCAAGAAATACCATTCCGTTTGGTCAATGACAACATGCTTCCTCTTCTTGTACAACATACAGACACGTACTTCACTGACTAGTTCTCAGTTTTGTTCGTCTCAAAAAGTTAAAATCAAAAAAATGCTGATGTGGTGCTAAATAAATAATAACAGTCCTTGCATTTGAGTCATTGAGGTGTCTCATAGTACTTTGCTGAATATCCTGTAAATTAGCATGACTGTGAGGGGGTAGGCAGGATTTCCTTTGGGCTGAGCTGGCTCCCAGGTGTAAATGCCTGACTATGGAATATCAGAATCAAGTTGACCTAATGCAGTGGACTCAGATGCTCCATTCCTGAGCCAAATGGGTTTGCAGCACTTGAAGACAGTTGTTGATGACAGACCAGCTAACCTGAAGGCAGGACTCGACAGGGCAGACCAGCCACTGGGGCAGGGATTATTCCCATTCAGTTTTGGATGACGAAAATTCCTTGAAGATACAAGCACAACCACTGAGGGCAAGATCTTCATTGTTGTAATCATTCAACCATTCTATCTGCTCATTAAAATAAGATTTGAAAGGGTGGGTGAGACCCAGGAAGGGTGTGTGATTCTTAACACTCTGATGACTAATAGTATGCTGAGGTATTCTAATGTATCTTGAAGTAAAGTAGTACCACAATTTACTTTCACCCTGAAAAAAGTAGTCCATTCACAAAACAAGATACAGGGGATTTCAAACAAACATACCTGGCAAATACCCTGTCTTTGTTTGCTTTCTCTTTTCCGTATTGCACAGACTGCACCTCGGTCCTCCCACTGCAAATAAATGAATACATTTCAGACTGAAATCACACATGAAGGAGAAGGAATAAGAGAGGGAATGAGGAGGGTTGGAGGCTCAGGTGGAGTATAAACTCGAGCGCAGACAAGTTGGTCTAATGGCCTGCTTCTCTGCTGCACTGTTCATTTTAAAAGGCACTATTGACAACCTTTCATTTCTCCAAATATTACCTCTGTACAAAAGAACTGGTTTCCATGGGAAAAAAAATCAAGAATTTCAACACAAAAACGTTTAAAATGTTGCAATGCTGATGGGCAGTGACTAGTTTTTGGAAATGTAAGACTGTTGTATAAGTGGAAATGATGGTTATCTCACTTCAAAAAATAAGGGTCTGATTCATGTAACTATGGACTTTTGCACTTAACATCTCAAGAGACCTGACTTAACTTGGCTAGACAGCCTGCAGTTATTCTGAAATCATTGTTATTATATTAAGTGCATTTGGAAAGTAAACCTTTATTTCCGATTTACAAAACCAGTTAATAAGCACATTTTAGTCCTGACAATTTTTGGTAGCACACAGATGTGGTATCAAAACAGGTTTCCTTACACCAGGAGAGAAACTCCCTTCTCTTTCCGAATAGTGCCTTGGGATCTTTTGGGTCCACCTAAACAGGCAGACGGGACCTCGGTTTAACTTTCTCATGCAAAGGATGGGCACCTCTGATAACGTAACACATGCTCAGCACTGCATTGGAATGCCATCTTAGACGATGCGAGTTCAGCACAATGCATAGATATAGCAGACAAAGCATTATGGCATAGTTTGGGGTTTGGTGTGAATTTCGAATGGGGGATAAATAATCCCTATTCGAAAGTCACACCAAACACAAAACGTTGGGAAATTGGGAGAATTCTCTGTTCTCTTGAAAATAGTGACAGTCTTTCAAACGGATGAGACTTCAACTTAAAGTTTCATTCAAAGGCGAGTGAGTGTGCCGGTAATGAGCCAAATGGACTCTTGTAAATGTGCAAAAATCTTTTTAAGCAAACATCTCAGGGTAACATTATTACTTGACAAGACAAGTTGCAATTTAGAAACTGTCGTTAGTTTATTCCGCATGGCCCTAAAAACTAGAATGTTTATTGTAAAACTGAGGCTTTTCCAACAGTTAAATACCTACCAGTATCGGAACTTGGAACCCAACGTAAAATAATGTGCAAAAAAGTTCTTCTGTGGAGGAACAGGTCTCTCGAGCCGAAAGAACGTATGATGCTCTACACATGCTTTCCACAGATTTTTACAAGCTCGATAGTTCCCCATGTTAAATCCAAGCAACGTTTCTCTTGAGTCGAGCTGTTTTGGGGGGGAAAAAAAGTCAGAATTTTAACTTGCCAAACATATATTTTTTTGAAAACTCAATATTAATGTCAATCAAAAATTTCTTCTCATCCTTTTACCGATTCCATCTACACAGGAATAATTCTGTTTGGTAATTGTGTGCATAGAGTAACGACAACAACAAATTGCATTTGTATAGCGGCTTTCGCCTTGGGAGGATGTCCCAGTGTGTTGGATAGTGTGGGGTTTGCACCTGAGCTGTGGATGGGGATCGGAGAGGGGAGGGGTGTGAGGGGGGTGAAAGAGAGAAGATGACCAAAGACTTGGTCGAAAAGAAAGGTCTTGAGATGATCTTTGAAGAAGGTAAGGGAGAGGGCGAGGTGGAGGGGCCCCGGGTTGGAGTTCCACAGGATGGGGGCAGAAAGGCTGAAGTCCTGACCATCGACAGTGTAGCAGCCCAGTGCCTGCAGAGCAGAGAGGTTGATGAAGTTTTAATAGATCGCAGCGGTAGGAAGGAGCAAGACCGCGGAGGACTTTAAAGGTGAGAACAAGGATCCTGATCTCCAGGGGGTGGGGAACCAGTCAAGCTGGGCAAGGATGAGGGTGATCGGCTCACAAAGCTCAATGTGGGTAAATGTGGAAGCATTAAGGCAACACATTTATAAAAACGTTTTTTAAGACATCATGTTTGAAACGGGCTCTGTAACTGGAGAACAAAACGGATACTCATGCAATGCATAGAATCACAGAATTATACAGTACAGAAGGAGGCCATTCGGCCCATCACGTCTGTGCCGGCTCTTTTTAAAGAGCTGTCCAAATCAATCCCGCTCCCCCGCACTCTCCCCAAAGTCCTGCAAACTTGTACTCCCCAAATTATCTGATATCACAGATCTACTGGTTTCAGCCAGAAGAAAGCACACTGAAGTACAAACACTCACTCACCAATTCTCTTCGAAGTTGAATGAAGAACTGTTTGCATTTGAAAGATATTTTTACAATTTTCAACCTGTTGAAAAGGAAAGGCAGTGAGTAAATTCAAGATATGAATTGTTCGAGGAACATCTTGATTTTGGCAAATTTCTCCCCCTTTTCTTTGCTGAAGGCACCGACTCTTGCTGAGGATTGGATATAGAATCTTCTGGCATTTTGTCTAACAGACCATTTTTCATATGTGGTCAATGAGCGTTAGCTGGCTTGTCAGCCGCGGGCATCTTCATTTAAATGTGATTGAAAAAGTGCTCCAGATCAATACTCTAGGATGCACAAGTCAGCAGAACAAAAGCACAGATGCTTAGAGTTGTAAAGGCCAAATTCAGGACATATAACAGGACATTTATCTTTATTTAGTGTGATTAACGACTGAACAGATGCCCAGGATTGATAGTTTGAGGCCAGGACACTAGAATCATTTCAAAAGCAGCTTGATACTGTTAATGGGTGGGGGGGGGGGGGGGGGGAGGGGGGAATGGTAATTGCGCTAATATAAGAATCTAAGATAATGCAAGGATTATAATCTATGACAACACTTGCATTTGACATATATACACCTCATCACATTGAAATATATCGAAGTCCTTCACAGACTTTTCTATAGAAAGCATATTTCTAGGCAAATACTCTTTGAATAAAATTAAACAGAATCCATTAAAAATAAAAGAGCAATGCTTTGTGTGAATGATATCATGCTCATTATTTTTGGAAAAAGAAATCCAGCTAGTTTGAGGGCCATTCTACTGTCTTCCAGGCTGAGAAATGGGTTCTCATTGTAAACTCCACTTGAGCTACTTGAAGGACAAAGGGTACGACGAGGAGAACAAATTTTTGAACAGATAAATTACTTGCCAAGGACATTTACTTCCATTCTGTAATATAATGCATTGATAGCATTGCTGAGAGTATCAATGATCCGTAAAAGTGCTACATGAATGCAAGCTGACAGTGGTGCTGTCTACAGAGAAACTCTGATAACTCGTAATCCCAAGGGAAATAGCTCAAATGACTACTTATCAGAGTTGACTGGTTATCCAAAGCATAGTATCTCGAAAGTACAAAGTAATCAAATAGCCGAGCTATTGAGTGAATGGTGAGTTATGTGGGATTGACAACTTATCCCAAGGGTGAGTTATCAGAGTTTCACTGAATATACTAATACAGTATGCACTGTTAGAAGACAATGTGGAAGACTGCACATGACCACACAAAACCCACTAAGGAGAACAATTGCTTCAATTGCTATTTATTGTTAAACCTCTAGCATGCGTGCTCTGGGAATGCACTAAGCAAAGGCTTGAGCTGGACCGCAGTGGAAAAGAAAATTCTGATACCCTAACCCTCAAAAGGAGTCCAGAACTCATCAGAACATTGTACAGGAAGTGCAACGGGACTGAAGAAACAATGGAAGACAGCTGTTTAAGGCAACGTTTAAATTCCAATTGAAATTCGTTTTTTTTAAAAAAAAGCACTGTCCAGTCGATTCAACAACAACAAATGACATTTGTATAGCACCTTTCACGTCAGGAGAATGTCCCAAGGCGCTAGACAATCAGGGATCCATACCCGAGCTGGTGGTTGGAGGGCGGAAAGGTTAGGGGTAGGAGGGTGACCGAAGGCATGGTTGAAGAGGAGGGTCTTGAGACAGGTCTTGAAGGAGGCAAGGGATTCAGTAACGTTATTTGGGTAGATTTAATACATTAAGTAGAGCGAATGGAGATAAAAGGCCAATTTTACTGTCTAGTCTCCAAACTAGATTTTAGATACTCATTAAAATGGATTTTTTTTAAACCAATCTGCACGGTATAAAAAAAGTACCTTTTGGACTGTTTTGAAAATAAACCAGATTCTATGATATTAATACGGCAAAACACACTTATCTTTCTAAATCTTTTGTCCTTTCCCTCTAGCTATATTATAAGGATGAAGGCGTTTGACTTAAAATGTTACTGAATATACTTAAATCAACTGATGTCATCAACGTCAAATGCACAACACACTTGGCTGACTCCCACAATCGGAATGGGACAGGTAAACCCTCGAACTGTTGCAGAAGCAGAGATGGGCTTGGCCTGGCTCAGCTGGGAGCACTCTCACCTCTGAATCAGGTTGTGGGTTCAATTCCTACGCTTGAAACTTTGAGCTCATAGTCTGGTTTGACATTGCAGTACTGCTGTATTGTTGAAGGGCGCTCAGTAGTGTCCCACAATCAACAATAACTTGCATTTATATAGCGCCCCTTATGCAGGTCAGCATCCTAGAGTGCTTAACAGGGGCGGACGATGACAACCTGTCGTTTAAGAAAAAAACCATCAAAGGAGGATGCTTTTAGACACGATTCAAGCTCGAGAAGGTGAAGCCGAGTGAATCTATTGAAGGCGCACGTAGTTTTATTATAAAGGACGTAAAGCTTACCCTTACTGCTCAGCGTGAGTGAAACCACCTATGGTGCTCTTAGAGCAGTTTCAACCTCACTGAGTAGATGAAGCAATCTCTCCCCTATTAGCACGAAACTGACTTTCAAACTGCAGATGTGGTGGGAAAAATGGTCCACAAGGGATCGGGACACAATTAGAAATGAAAGATCCCAAAATAATGTGATCGCACAACTACGCATGGAATAATAATGAAGGAAAAATTAATGTGAGATTTATACAGAATAAAAAAAATTCAAAGGAAAGCAAAAAACATGAGAAAGAGAGGAGAGAAAAAGAGAAAAGGGAAATTAAGCCATGAGAGAAAATAAGTAGTGTAATATGAGTATGCAGGCGAAAGAACACCTTGGTCATGTCATTAATAAGTAGGTCAAACGTGCACTCTTATTGTCACAACATCCAGAAACTCAGCTGCCTGGCAAGCTGAGTCCATATCATTCAAGGGGTCAAAGATTGGCAAAGAATTTAATCGTCAATCGCAAAGTCATGCCTCTGTTTCAGCTGCATGCTCTCTCTTTCCATTACTGTAAATGTTTCTTAAACCTGATCAAAATATTCTCAACTAATGTGCATAACCATTTGTGCCAAACACTAAGTGGACAACAAATGAGCTTCAGCTCATGCAGGATCCAGTCATTTTCCGTTACATCAGTACAGCTATTAAAGATTGACGTGAGAAGGGAAAGGTTGGACTCAACAACTGCATCTGCGCCACCATTTGGCCACAGCAAAGAAACACTTACCATTAATTGAGAGTAATGTACAATTGGTTGCCGCGTTTCGCCCACAAAATACAATCAATTCACTTTACAATATATTCTGTGAAGCGCCTTGAGGCGGTTGAACGATATGATAAGGTGTTATATCAAATGCAAGGATTATTATTATTATTACTACTACAATAACAGAAAAAAATTGCATGACCGACTTTTTTATTACGACAGCTTTCGGGAGAATCAATTTTCAGAAGGGGTAAAATACAATTTACATTTATATCGCGCCTTTCATTTCTGAAGGATACTTCAAGGCGGTTAAAGTATGGAGAATAAGGACTAATGGCAACACCTTACATTTGATTACAAATGTTTTGTACAAACATTTCTGTCTGCGTGTGTGTGTCTCTCTCTATAAATAAATAACTAATAATAATTTGGTCACTATATCCCTGTTTATGGGACTTGATGTGCGTAATTGGCTGCTGCGTTTTGCTCACAAAATACACAGTCAGTACACTTTACAGTATATTCTGTGAAGAGCTTTAAGACGTCTCAAAGACATGATAGGGCGCTACGTCAAATGCAAGGATTATTATTATTATTTATTTCCAATGTTAACTACTAAACACTATGAAACACTGTTACGTCAGAAATTATTATCACTTGGACACCAAGGAGTGCACCAGGATTCGTCTTAAAATATCCACTTGGAAATAGAGGTGATTAATAGGTTTGTGGAGATAATGGTAACATGTCAAACTGATGGTTATTTCAGCTGCCCACGAATTTAAAAATAGTGGTTACATCTCCAGGACTGGCAAAGCTGTGCTGTTCTGGGCTGAGGAGGGAGACAGCAAATGTTTTCCCAGAAGGAAAGACATCACACCGATAGGTCCTTAATAGGATGACAGGTCATTAATGGGAAGATACTCAAAGGATGACTGTGCCTCAAGCAATTTCAAAAACACACAGTATGCAACAGGAATTTTTCTAACAATTTAAAGACGCCCAAAACTCCCCCTCAGGCTTCAATTGATGGCTACTTTTATATCACGTATAACAAACACCCCTTTGTATGTGAGGCAAAACCGCAGAAGATGTTAAGCAATAGAGGAAATCATAAAAATAGGCTTGAGCTCAATTTATTTTATTACATGCCTTAATTATCTTATTGTTGAATTATAGCCTCAACTACAGATTATACTTGACTGGATAAGCACCACAACATTACCAAATATGCAATTACGTTTTCAAATCATTTCTCTAATACAATATAAAAGTTCACATAGCATATCAAGTCGCTTGTAGCTTGCATCACAGATTCTTCCAAAGGGCTGCATTTTAATGTGTCAGCAGCTTAATATCAGTGAGGCAATTTTGTCTTTGAACAACCAAGTTACAATATGTAATCATCACGACGGGATAGCATTATGGAATAGAAATGCAGCCTTTCCTAAATCGTTTTCAGGGCATATAAGACAAGTGTTGCGGATAAAAACAGTACAATTTAGATCAGCAACAAAATTAGTCACACGAAACACTGACGAACAATGAACAATGTACATTTCACTCACTAAAAGCAAATTTGTAATTTTTAGAACAAATTTACGGTGTAGGATGTTAACAGAGACCACACTGATCTGGATTTGACCGTAGCACACATTAACAAAATATTCCCAAGGTAAGTTTAAGTTTTATTAAACATCTAACGCACTATTTTTAAAGTAAGCCCACAAGCTAAGTTGCAGTTCAAATTTTGACAGGTAATGAATAAATCACTTATTGAAATGAGGAGATTTTACCAACAGGAAAGAAAAGTTGCGCAAGAATGGTTAGGAAACCACTGTGAGAACTTCTCAACTGTGCTCTTACCATGGAAAGTAGTTAATTCGTACCCTGCTCTTGTAAATGACAACGCCGCTTGACAGCACACCAATCATGATTTCTGTGTTACTTTGATCCTAAAAGAAATCAGATGATCTCGCATCAAATATTGTGTCAATTGCTGATAACAGATTGCACACAAATAAAGCTATAGTAACTTGCATTTGTAAAAATACCATAATCGTGGAAAGGTGAGTGATGATGGGAACAAAACAAAAAGGGAGAAACACGTGTAGAGAATTTCCTTACTCGTGAGATTAATAGCTGGACTAGCTCTTCTGCTCTGTCTGATTGAAAGGCCCATCTTCAAGTGGCGGGCAAAGCAACTCTGTTTAGTCGTCAACTTCAAGCCTATCTACTGCATTTCTTGCAAGGGAATCTGGTTCTGGTTTGAAACTACAAATAGGCCACACGCCCAGGGCTCTGAAAACTATTAACAAAAGGGCATTTCTAGACCATTAGAAATGACCGAACCAGTTGACTTATGCATCAGTATGGTCAGACATCGGCCCATCATCTCAATCCAGCTGTTTATTCAACTTGTTCATAGTAAATGCCTCATTCTATTGGGAGAATACAGGATTACCTCGATTGTGAATACCAGTCTCAATTCAAGCCAACAGGGGCCTCTTGTTACAATAAATGGTCACGTTCACAATACCACAGTCACCTTGTGCTGCCGAAGCACTCTGTTAATAGTCTTCAACAAATCGTTTTGGAGCACTAATGGAGACTGACTCAGCTAAATACTCTCACTTACTGTACTCGAGCCAAATGTGTGATTAGCTAAATTAAATTAATGTACCTAAAAAGGCTTTTGTGCACTGGGAACCCTTCAAAGCAACATATTGCTTGTCATTTAACAGATACGTCCCGTATCTTGAAATACTGTGATGGCTGAAAATATACAGCAAGACACATTAAAGCCCAAGTGGACCAGTGTTCCCTGGCCCAATTACAGTCTGGGGGAAAAGTACTAAGATATTTTGTAAGATCTAAATAAGTCGATCTAAATAAAACAAGTTAAAATGGGTAACAGAAAAGAAATTCAGAGCCAACAAAAAATATTATTTTCTCTGAAAGCAATTGTTCCGCAATTTTTTTTAGACCCTTCAACGTAACTTACACAATAAGAAAATTAATGCCAAATTAGTCCACATTTATAATTAGTAGACATAAGCAGAATAAGCAGGAGAGTACAGAAGTAACTTCCACCAACCCGTCTCCCACAGCTCACCTGACCAGTGAACACAATATACTGGAGGGGGCACCAAGATCTCAGAGCAGGAAGGCTCAAGAGATGGAGCCAGTGCCTTCTTAAGGGGGTGACTACACCCCCATCTTGCTCCTGTGTGCTGGGGCCGGGCTGAAAATGGTGGAGCACGAAGCCTAGGCCACATGGTTGACCCGAGATTGGTAAAGGTTAGGGTGGGGGAGTGGGAGACTGCGAGGGGTTTGTAACAGGTGCCACGCACCCTACCCACCCACAGATTAAACCTGTTATAGTGAGGACTGTGTGTCTCTGTATGCATCCGTGACTGCCTGGCTTGGGGCGGAGGAGGGGATGGGGGGGGAATGTTGTACAATATACTAACATTTTATTAAACTGCTTGAGATTGCTTCATGTCCCCCACCCTATCTGACCCACCATCAACGACTGGGCATTCAGCCTATCTGCCTCCACTTTCCAGAACTCTATCCCGGAGTCCCTCCGAGTCGCTTCCTCCCTCACCTCGTTCAAGCTCTGCCAAAAGAACAATGCAGTATAACACTCGTCAGATAATGGCACATTTTCCAGTCCTTTATCACCAAGTTTAGCACTTTTCACCTAAAATAAGCCATCTGCAGAACGGCTATACAAGTTAAAAACTACGCACAAATAGCTAGCAGTGAGTTGGCAATAATTTCAATTTGTCACATCTCAATCTCTTCTTGAATTTCTGCTTTATCACTTCCTGCCATCCATTAGCTGTATAAACGTTGTAAATGATCGTTTTCCATTTCTCATCATTGTTTTCAATAACAACTACAACAAAACAACAAAGTTACATTTATAGAGCGCCTTTCACGTCGGGAGGTAGAAGCGTTGGTAGAGAACCATATTCTCTACCAAACACAGTGCATCATTTTCTGATGGAAGAGAATCGCTTCCAGTATTATTTTCCAACAGTCCATAGAACCAGCTCATATTGAGTCATTTGCTGTGGTTTCCTCTTTCACTGGAGAAGAGGGCTTTACTCTATAATGATTATACCAGGTTTTTATTGCATAGAAAACTATGGGATCACTAAAATTACAGAGTGTGGCTAGGGTGACACTGTTTTAACCATATGCACTAATTTAATAGAAAATGCCTTACATACACTCACGCAATACAGACAAATGTACTTCATCTCAGGTGTGTGTTTACATGTAAATTTACTTAAAACATCTATTTAAAGGCGCTATACAAATGTAAAGGCACAAATATGTCAAAATACATATGCCTAACCGTGCAAATATGGGTACTGAGATCAAATACCCAACGAGGGATCTATGACTCATTTTTTTATTTATTAATCAAAAATGCAATTTAGCCACACCCGGATTCCCAATTTACCAGATGTGGCCAGTGGCTAATGTATTGGACAACCCCGCTTTAGGTCAGTCTGCAAGATTCACAATAAAAAACTATTTTACTTTATGCAGTTTAAGATTCATGCACTTCAGAGTAAAGAAAAGGCTAAGAATAGGCAGAACAAGAAACAATGTGGGCAAAAACCAGATTGAAACTTACCCTTGCATAGTGCAATTCAACTCCGTACAATTCTAAGCTCCGTGCTGTATTTAGGTAATTAAATTCTGATTCTGCGGGAGACAGTCCTCTGCTTAAAAGAAATGCATTGAAGCAACATGAGGTTAAAAAAATCTCGATCGCTTGCTATCACCAGAAAGAGTAAAGCAATAAAACAGAAATTAAACGCATTGGAAAAAGCTTACTTCTGCTGTTGATGCAACTTTGCTATTTCTTTTTCAAAGTCTTGAGGCTGGCTGGGAACGAAAGAAAACTCGGCGAGGTAGCCCGGCAAGTGCTCACTATCGTTGTAATCTCCCAGTTCAGCTGTGAAACAGAATATTAAAAATGAAATTCCTGCGTGTAAAACACTAAAGAGTACGATTGAGCCTTATCTGTATAGTGGCAAAATATTTCAGATGACACTCCTTTTAAGTCAATGCAATTTCCACTGAATAATTCATTTACTTTTCATTAGATGCTTATCAGATCTTATATTCCTGTTTAGAAAGGATTAGTAGTAATTGCTGTGGATGCACGGCTGCCAATTCAAGCTGCCACAGGGAGTTCCTCAGTACAAAATCACAGTAAATATACAATAGCTGTCTGCAAATCTCAAATCCAAAGTACTTTGGGAGAGCTGCCCATTCCCTCCTGCTTGGATTCCTTTGGTGTTTTAAAAACTTTATGTAGTACTTATCCAATCAGTTCAAATTGAAAGGTGGCAGTGGAAAATGTAAGAAATGTACTGCTACTTGCAAGGATAGATTACTGCTTACACTATCAACAATGTTATATCCCAAGGATAAACAACTGCTACACTATCAGTACAAATTATACTCCATAGACTACAACTTGTATTATTTGCACACCCGAGGATACATAACTGCTCACACTACCAGTAGAATGTCATATCAATTGTACCATGAGGTACTATTTTAACCTTTTAAGAAAGCCCACACCCACCCCAGCAAAAATACTGAAATAAGTACATTATGTTTATAATGATGTGATCTCTTCCCTTAACTTCACACAACTTCCTTCAGTTGCCAATGATCAATCAAAACAAGTTGTGGATTAGCCACAGTTGTATTTTTTTCCTCATGACTTGATGCAACAGCAAATTGCATTTATATGATGATAATAATAATGCTAATCCTTGCATTTGATACAGCGCCTTATCACATCAGTGAGACGACTCAAACTGCTTCACAGAATATACTGTAAAGAGAACTGACTGTATCTTTTGTGAGCGAAGCACATGATACAAACTGTGCAAGGGGTCTAGCACTATTAATTATGGACAGAAGATTAATTGAAGAGTTAACTTCTGTTGAGGTTACATATGTGAAAACCAAGTTAGTACAAAGAACTGACTAATGCTACACTGACTTGGAAATGAGCAGGATAATCTGCCTTGGGGCAAGATGAACCTTCTCCATTTACTGAGAAATGAAGCGTAATTGCATTATACATCATGTACTTCCAAGACTCGCAGACCCACTTGAAACAACAGGCATTTTATTTTCAAGAAATGCTGTATGAAAAGGCAACTGTTAAAGTGTGCGGACTATAATTGAACATTACTTAATTTAATGGTGAGCTTTGTTGTATCATATAACAGCACAGTGGAGGCTTGACCAGATCAGATACATCTTACCAAAGAAAAGGTTTGTTTCAAACGGGGTTTTGACCTCACTGGCAACCAACAAGCTCAATTGTTTAGTAAAATGAACAGAGGCATTTGTTTTGCAGAGAAAGGTATACAAATAAATTTATACAATGAATGCAATGAAATGTATGCAGTCTTTGATTTGCCATTAATAATAAAACAGACAAACATTTAGACGTTACATTTTAATGAAGTCCGTTAATAATAATAATCCTTGCATTTGATATAGTGCCTTATCACGCCATTCAGACGTCTCAAAGCGCTTCACAGAATAAACCGTGAAGTGAGTTGACTGAGCGTAATTGACACTGCGCACAGCAGTGTCCCACACACGGTTGTGGATTGAGTGACCTAATTATTATTTTCTTGTTGTAAACAGGGTTGAGATGCACAGTTAACAAGACACGAATCAAAGGGCAAATGGAGCCACAGGGAAAGGAAAAGAAGATCACATTCTACAAGGTTCCTAATCGGTCAAGCATATACTTACATTGAACAGCATAGGAGGCCAGAAGGGCTGCAGTGCTATATGGACAAGGCAACCTGAAAGAAGATGACATCAAAATTATTTCTTTATTCCACATCAACAGACGATTTCTGAGGTATCTCAAACGCTTTGGCAGTGTGCACACATCGTTGACAAGGCCACCTCAACCCACAAAAAGAACAAAACTTTGTAAAATGTCTTTAGATGTGTCGCTAACAATGAGCACACCATCACCGATGCAATCATTTGTGTGTCTTTTCATCATCACGTTTTTTTGTTTTTAAGAAAGCGCAAAGAGGATTGGTATCTCATGGCAAGATCATATCTTGTCCTTCAAAGCTGAAAGAATATACTGAGGCATAATTTGAAACACAATATCATTTAAAAAAAATAAGAGCCATCTGACAATTACATTTATTGGTACAATACTTTTGCGGTTCACTTTGTCATTCAAATATCAATGAAAGCTTTGAGAAAACAAATTACATAGTTGTCAAAGCTAAACAGCAATGAAGTCAATCAAGTGACGCATCGTTACATAGAAGCAGGAGGAGGCCATTCAGCTCTTCGAGCCTCTTCCGTCATTCTATAAGATCATGGCTGATCTGTACCTCAACTCCAATTACCCACCCTTGCCCCATATCCCTGATACCCTGACCGAACAAATATTTTTTTTTATTTAGCGCTTTAAACATTTAATACAAAGTGACTGTGGATTTTTGAAAATATTCTAATTATTTGAAAAATGTTCCAATTAGTTACATACATGCGCTTTCTTCAAGTTTAATTTCTGATGCATGTTCAAAGCATTGATACAATTACACAAGATAAACTCACACTGCAATAAACACCCAAGCAAGAATTATAATCATGATATGGAAGAATCTAATTAAGACCATAAAGAGTGCGAGGCTTTGTAGGCATAGGATTGACCCTTCAAAAGCATTTTACATACATCTAGCTATTGTATTATGTTTTTCCATAGTATACACAGATCAGTTCTTAATAAATTGCTTTGTTGGCAATAGATGATGATTGCAAAAGGAGAATTTTTAAATATTAACTGGGACACTGGATCTGAAGATATGTATCACAACACAAGCATTGGATTCTGACAATTTTATTGATTAAAAAAACATTTAAAAGTTAAGACTGCATGCAAAATTACATTTATAGAGCGTCCTTGATGTCGGGAGGACGTCCCAAGGCTCTGGACAGTCAGGGGTCAGCACCCGAGCATGCGGGAGGGGTGGGGTAGGGGTGAGGGAAGGCAGAGAGTTGGGAGGGAGACTGAAGGCACGATCGAAGAGGAGGGTCTTGAGACCGGCCTTAATAATAATAATAATCCTTGCATTTGATATAGCGCTTTTCACGTCGGGAGGCAAGGGAGGAAGCGAGGCGAAGGGACTGTGGGATGGTGTTCCAGAGTGTGGGGGTAGAGATGCTGAAAGTCCGGCCACCGATGGTAGGGCAGGTCGGGCGGGAGACATGGAGTCCGTTGAATGGAGGGAGCGGGCAGGTTGGCAGGGAGTCAGCAGGTCAGAGAGGAAGGAGGGGGCAAGGCCATGGATGGTCTTGAAAGCCAGGACGAGGATCTTGAATTCGATTCTCTGAGGGATGGGGAGCCAGTGGAGTCCGGCGAGGGTGGGAGTGATGGAGTCATGGAGCCTGGTGTGCGAGAGTACACAAGCTGCAGAGTTTTGGATGATCTGCAGCTTGTAAAGGGAAGAGTTGGGATGGCCAATGAAGAGGGAGTTTCCATAATCGAGCCTTGATGTGACGAATGCATGGGTGAAACTAATTCCAGTTTAGCATTCCCCACACATACCAAGAGTCTTGGTAAGACACCACTGTGCTTTGCTGCTCTGCTCACATTGTGTAAAAAGGCAGAATCCAGAAAGATTAGGAATTATTTGGCCACCTACACTAGCAGTTAAGGTTCTTTAAACAGGGCCAATAATAATCATAATCCTTGCATTTGTTATATCGCCTTATCACGTCTTCGAAGCGTCTCAAAGTGCTTCACAGAATATTCTGTAAAGTGGAGTGACTGCGTATTTTCTGGGTGAAACTTGAAAGCCAATTGTGCACAGCGGTGTCCCACAAACAGTTATAACATGAAAGAGAGAAAACCTTCTCCACTAACAAATAGATGGTGCATCACTACTCACCTGCCAGTAAGGATATCTTGTTTAAGTTGCAGAAAGTATTGGTACCTGAAAAAAAAACATTGGAAACATGGTCATTAGTTCATTAAAATCCAGCCTTAATTTCACGAATGAAACTAAACAAGACCATGTCAATGCACAACTTGAACAATTTGCTCTGCTTTGAAGTGTTTTTCCTCAATCAAGAGGTGAGAAGAAGACACAAAAGGAAAAAAAAGTATCATAATCACAACCTCATCCGGATAAATTCTTCACTGATTTGCAAACTGATTTGGCGAAAGATCTGGCAGAACTACGTCAATGCAGTGACATATAGCTTGCTTTAGAAAATTGATTCTTGATATTTCTGGTTAAGAAATACTGAAAGTTAGACCTTTAACTTCAAATGACCACTTTTTGTTTCTTTATCACTCACATAAAAGTTCATCAGTCATGACACCTTTCATATGACGTGAGGTAAATTGGAATCATCACCAAATGAACATCAGTCAAACCAGAAAATAATCCTCTCACAAATAAGACTTTATGAAAAGGCTTTTTAGACTATGTAACTATGACATAAAACCAATTTATGAGTGCGGAAAGCATGAAGCAATCGATTGACACCTCAACAAAGCATGGTCCGAAACCCACAGGCTATCATCACACAACTAATACAGTTGGGCATAATCAATGCATAAGGGAAAATAAACAGAAAGATTAGTCGTATGATAACGATAAAAGTTGTACTCATTTTTATTCTTAGGCAATATCCGCGTACACAATAAATTTGTACAGAAATGATTGTGTATCATTACCTCCACAAAATATGTAGTTTTTTTTTGTTCAAACCCTACAATTTTAGCAACTGTAATTTTATAAAATCACTTAAGCCAAACAATTTTCTTCACAAGACCAACAATTTTGTAATCAGAACTCCAAAGCCTGGCTATCTCGCCGAATCCTCAAAGAGCAGTGGGATGAGCAAGCTTTTTTTTGTTCTCAACGTGATGGATAAAGTTGCGAAAAGGACCAGGTTGGTATGAAATGCTGTTGGAAGCATCCTCCTGATTCTAACAAGGGTCACGCTAAAATTAAAGCAAGTATGGGTAGAAATTTTGCCTGGGTCTAGATTTACTCCATTAACAGAGCGGACAGAATGTGCCAAATTCAGTTTTTATTTTTCTGTAAAGTTGCTTCAAAAACGGGCTACAAAATCTGAACTGAATTCAACGATCTGCCAAATTATGTATAGCCTGAAATCCTATGTTAAGTGTGAACAGATTTACCGCAGTAGTTTCTTAAGAGTGAAGGAATCTCAAGAGTTAAGTATTTTGAATGTTACACATTTGTCCGTGGAAACCCTCATTCTAGGTAATTGTCCTTATCTTGAGGGTGCTTCAATGGAATTTACTTGCGGTGTTCAAGAGTAAGCAGATGAGCTCTGATAACATTAATTTGATATTAGCAAAACTTGACAATGAGATTTGACAGGGAGATATGTGTACAGTAGCCAACTCGCATTTGTAACGGTTCATTGTATGTCTGATACAAAATATGCAGAACACAAGTGAACCATAGTAAATTGTGTTTCAGTGCATTAAAGCTACTTTGACCAAGATCTTTGTATTGCTTTTTTCTTTCTCTCTCTCCATTTACACTTCAATTTCACACAGGACATTGGAAGAGGGGAATGAAAGAAACTTTTTTTGATTCCCTGCTCAGCGACATTTAGTGCTGGCTTCTAATTCTCAAAACACGGGGACTTATTTTAAGTTTAGAGAGTTGACACCGATATGTCGGAATGCAAAATTATGTTTTCAGCAGAGTATCAAATGGTGGGCCGCGCTGAAAACCCAAACCACAAGCAAGAGAAAACCATCAGGCTGGGTTTTGAATGCCTTAGCTGTAAAAAGATATTTGGGAACAGCTTGAGGTCAAGTAGAAGGCAGGGGTTGTATTCTGCTAAATGGCTTTGATCCCATGGACTTACACTCGGTATTAAAAGATTGATACGAGCTTCCATGAATAGAATTTTTAAGCGGGCTTAAGAACCCAATGAGCCAGTGTGCTCTCAACCCGCTCCCCCTCTCTCCCCTGCATTCAGTCCAAACGTTAGTCACATTTTAGTCCATTGGTTCAGAGAGCGACCAGCTGCACATACAGCAATTATGGAAATGTTATCAGGTACCTTGACCGTTTGATGCGACGGCTAATTTAGAAAACCTCTTCATCCAAACATAAAGAAGAATGATCAAAATCTCAGAAGGGTAAGTGAGTAGACTTCTTTTTCCTGAATGACCTTCTCAGTAGTCATGACAGAACGATGCAAGACCATGACAAATGTAATTCAGAGATTACAATCACCGAATTACATCACAATCTTGTAACTCTGCTCTTCGACCACCTGGTGGCACTGACATGGACTTGAGAAACCAAATAAAACCACTCTTTACCAGACGTTTTACTATAAATCAAGTGACTTGACTGCAGTCAGGTTACAAAACAACAGGACACGTGTTAGAATGGGAAAAAATACCTTCTCCAAGCGAATCATTTCAAACCGCATGACGGGTTTGAAGTCAGCAAGCTTTACAATTATAACATCTCTCATATTACTACTTCAGCAAATGCCTACTATTTCTACCAAGTACGACTGCTGCTTGTATTTGGATAGACTGCCTCAGAGAGAGAATACTGCTTTGTATTGGTTCATTTAGCCCCTTGACTGTTAGGAAGCAACGTATGGCTGTACTTGTGATCCATACTCATAAAATGATGAAGTCTTCACAAACCACTCCAAGCATCAATAATCCACTGTTAAAACAAACCATTGCCTGTTGTTTAACTTGTGCTGAGATAGAAGATTCCCCTCCGAATCGAGGATTGTCAGCTACTACTTGCAGTGGCTCAAACCACTGCAAAGCCAAAAGCTACTGAATTTTAAACTCAATGTATTTGCATTTGCTTAACAGTTGGATGTTTTTCTCTTGATCAGCGTAACATACAGTTTTGTGGCTATTAGTGTCAATTATAGATCTATGTCAACCATGCTGCAAGCAGCCCTGTATTATTATAAAACACTGTGTAATGAAGTTCTACTGTCATTAGATTTTCAATAATGAATGAAAAACAGCTGGCAGAATTGAGTAGATTTTGGGCAACCTCCTGCTGTACTGCCCATCATCTCAGTAGGGGAGTCTGACATCCTTCATTTCCAAACAGCCTTCTGTGATGAAATGTCTGATTTTATGCTTTTGTTCATAAGGTTTAAGGACTTGGACTCATTACTGACAACTGACACTGTATTTGCTACGTCTAATTTTTGCACAATGTACTGGGAGCCAAGCCAGTATTGTTAGGCGCTTTGGGCATCCTTCTGACATGAAAGGTGATATACAGAGGCAAATTTACATATAATATTTTGTCCCCAAAATACACAGGCAATTCACTTTACAGTTTGTCCATGAAGCGCTTTGAGACATCTCAAAGCCGTGATAAAATGCTATATCAAATGCCAGGAGTAATATTATTAATAAATATATTATATAAGATAATAATTATGTTATATATCTTTTATGTCTCAGAAAGGAGATTTTTAAATCCAGATTGGGATATTCATAACTTCTGTGCTTTAATAATTTTACTGGACTCATTTACTCAGGTTGCACATCGTTCCACTTGAAAGGAATCCATATGTAAAAGTGATCAGAGCAAATTAGTTGTTTTCTGGTGGGTGTGGGAATTCAAACACTTCTTGTCGGAACACAAACGAGCAGGACCGGTTGGGATATTTAGAGGATTTTAAGAAAATCTCCACAACAGCCTCTTTAGGTTATATTATTGATGCTAATTATGTTTGTAGGAGCACAACAAAGGTTGGCATTCATAACCTCCAGGAAACACAGCAACTTAAGGATTAGACAGGTTACAACACTGGAAGATACTGCAATCTGGTCCAATTAGGATCAATGAGGTCTTCCCATTAGCCTTGTCTCTATGTTATCCAGTCTCAGAACGAAGTACGCCGAGTCAATAACCTTTAACACTCGTGAAACTACTTAACTGAAAGTGAGCAGCAGAACAGCAGTACAGATCAGTGCTACAGACAGATCTTCATGTACCTAGGATACAAAATCACCAGGGAAACCCAAATTTTATCCAAACCTAATTCAAATACAATTACATGGGTGAATCTCCCAGCAGTATTCTACAGTCGTTGTGTGCACAATCTGCTTATTCTGCAGCCACAAATAGGCAGTCGCTAATTCTATAGACATTTCCTCATTGTAAAAAAGACTACAGCGCATTAACAGAATTTCATTAAAGGAAGTACAAAAGACATTTAGTATTTTTTTTCTTGAGCCTTATATTATGTAATAGCAACATAGGAAAACAGGAGGAGACCATTCAGCCTAATAAGCCTGTTCCACTAGTTTATTAGATCTTGCAATTTTATATTCCCAATGCCTCATAGGGAACAACATGTACAATATTTCTTTACCTGACACTGATGTTCCTCTGCAAGACAGGGGTACTCAGATGTATCCCTCTTTATGCTGCAGGAAACAGTCTGGCATACCTTCCACCAATCGAGCAATGGTAAGCCCCTATTTGGGTGAAGCCTTTTAGCTAAGATCTGTGGAGAGCACTGAGCATATGCACCATCCCATGTCACACGAAGGACACATATTAAGGTTATGAAAGAGTCAGGGGTGAATTCAACTCGAAAACATTAACACCATCAATTAATAGCAGGTAGCCACGAGGAGTTTTCATGGGATCAGATATTAGTGGAGACTGAATTGTACTTCACTGCATTTATACTCTAGCCCTGAAAATTGACTTCCTGACAACACCCTCTCATGATGTTAGACTAGATCCGCCAACCCTTCACAATCACACAGCGTCTAAGCAATTAAAATACAAACATCAGCTTCAAAGAATACTTCATTGGAGGCTACCTTGATATGAGAAAGGGCATTGGAATCTATTCCCTCTTCCTTCTCTGCAGTGTCACTTTCCCTCCAGATCTATCGTTAGGATATTTCCCATGTGATATTTTCAAGCAGTCATGTGGCAATTTGGAAAAATATATTCAGTCGCATTTTAGTTTGATCCAGTGGTCAGTCAGCCACTGATAAATAAATAGATAACAGCATTCCTACTGGATAACAGGTCTGCAAACCACAGTGAGCAAAATGCTCAACTTGTCTCTCCACAGGCTCACTCTCCCGAGACTGCACCATCATGGCCCCTACAAGAGTTGACAGTGCTTAAGATCTCTGTTTTTTTACCAGGAAGAGTTTCTGCAACTGGAACTCCTCATTCTACACTGTTTGAATAGGCTATGGTTATGCCTCACACACTATTCCTCCCATCTCCTCTTGTATCATTGCTGTCCTTGATGGCGAGTTTAAATTAACTAACCATCATCACTGGCTGAATAAGGGTTGTTTGGCTCCACACAAGGTCATTCTGTGACACTGATAACTCCAATGAAATAAACTGTTTATACTCTCTTCAAGGATGCATTTGAGCCACATTATGCTCGTTAGTGGTGTCAATCTGCATCCCATGCCCCCAGTATCAAAACGCCACACTTATTTGCAGTACTTATTTCTACCATTAGAGGCTCCCAGTGACCTCCAAGTTTAACAAGATTTCCATTGCGGAAATGACACGCTTGAATGGTCCATTACATTTTGCACAGATTACATTTTACATTTGATAACCAGATTGCTCCCAGACTTCATTTGGGTGGCACGTCAAACCTCTGACCACATGCCATAAGCATAGACATCTTCACTGATGCACCAATGCCACTTATTTATACCCATTCTTTCAAACATGTTCAATAACCTACAATGTCTTTCAGTGAAGAAACAGTTTGATTACTTCTTTTAAAGAATAACTCATTCTCCCAACACTGCTTAACTTAAAAATATGATGTAAATTGTTAGTAAAGAATAGCACCTGCAAAATTAACACTCATGTTGACAAACTTAAGAGAAATACAAGGTTTAGTTTTAAATAATCTCCCCTAGGGACATCTACGATGTATCATCTCAAAGAGGCTTATGAAAATCAAATGTTCATAAAGGAGTTTGATGCCCTTTTAGGCAGGGAAAGGAAAAATAATATTAAAACAATTCTTCGCGTGAAAGATGTTGCCTTTCTGGAAATGCCTGCTCTCTATTTGAAATAGAAAAATAAGCCCTATTTCAGTCAAGTAATAGAAGCATTCTCACAGATGAAGTCCAGACTGCTGTCATGGGGGGTAAAATGTCCCAGTATAGTGCTACCTTTGTGCTTAGATTAACAAAAATATTTACAGAGATGTAAAAAGATTGTGTTCAAGTGTTATCTGAGTGTTCAGTTTCTTTTCTAGCTTCTAAATTCACATATTTGTGTCAGAAATTTCATTAGTTAATGCTGTACTCTGTAGTGATTGGAATGCCATTTTCAAACCCTGTACTATAAGGGGGGGAAATGGATTTCACAAATGTTAAGCCAGTATTTTCCTGATAATCATAGATGGGAGTGAAACGGTCGCTGGCATTTCAAACTCGCACAACTGGAAGCAGCATAAATAAGGCCAACTGGACTGCATTTCTCTGTCACTGAAGATCACTTGAGCTCCATGGCCATCAGTGACTTTTCTAGCCTGAAGTTACTGCCCTATCAGTTCTACAAGATAGTGTTTGCTTTAAACAAGCAAGAGAGACTTTAAGTATAAATGCGCACACTGCTCAGCGGTAGCAGGTAAGGAAACGGCCAGTTTGCATGTTCATGCTTCATAATCATTGCCTGTGCACTTGCTAACTGTAAAAGAGTCCCTTGTTTCCTGCTAATTAACTTCCCCCCTTGAAAACCACAATGTAAAAGCTTTGGAAGTTGTAATATAACCACAACTAATTTGTTTACAGGATGTACATGCTGTTGTTGAGTTATATTAAACAAAGACACTTGATTTTAGTAGATGTAAATAAATAAGTAGCATAGTTAACTACTCGTTCTTTGATCCTGTCCCAATCCTTAAACTTTTGGGTCATTTTTTGTGCAGTTCAGAGGCAACTAGTTGTCATAATGAAAGTCTCCCCATCAAAGATTTAAGTTAATCCTCGTGGGCAAAGATAGTAGCTTTATTGCTCATTCTATAGCAAATGAAAGCTCAACTCCATAAATGAATAGCACTTTAATGGATATGGGTGACTTTTTGGAAAAGTCCAGTTGTATGGGTTTAACATGTTGATTTAAAAATTATTTTAACTTGGGGGAAATTGGTGATGTAGTAAGTTGTTTCACTCTCCTTTCACTGCTGGAATGTGTAAGTGCCCACAGCAGTTCAGTATCTTCCACCACATTGATTTTGAGCACCTAATAATAATAATAATCCTTGCAGTTGATATAGCGTTTTTCACGTCTTCTAGACGTCTCAAAGCGCTTCACAGAATATGTAAAATGGATTGACTGTATATTTGTGGGCGAAACCCGGCAGCCAATTGTGCACAGCAGCATCCCCACAAACAGGCATGGATTGAAAATGACCGATTTATTATTGTTTTGTTTTTTAGAGGGATTATTACACCTACCTTGTGTATTCCTCCTGCAGTTTGTTGGGGTCAGTCACAAAAAATTTCACTCTAAAATTCAAGTTATATGGGGATCCTCCTGCAATAAAGCACAACCCAAGTTTACTCCACATTCAAATCTTCAAACTCATTAGAAACCATTCTAATTTCTTTCAGTCACACAGATTCAACTGCTTTACTTACTCTTCAGTTGCTTTCTGACGAGCTTGTTTGGATCTAGCCAGCGCTGTAAAACATTGGAAGAAATTATACCTCAACTACAAATAAAAATAAACAACAATAACACAATTAAACTTATAGAGTGCCTTTCATGTTGGGAAGACGTCCCAATGTGCTGGACGGTCAGGAATCAGGATCCGAGCATGGGGGAGGATTGGGGTAGGGGAAGGCAGAGAGGAGGGAGGGTGACTGAAGGCACGATCAAAGAGGAGGGTCTTGAGACCGGCGTTGAAGGAGGCAAGGGAGGAACCGAGGCGAAGGGACTGTGGTATGGTGTTCCAGAGTGCGGGGCAAAGAAGCTGCAAGTCTGGCAACCGATGGTAGGATAGGTCGGGCGGGAGACATGGAGCAGGCCGGAACCCGCTGAACGGAGGGAGCGGGCAGGTTGGTAGGGAGTCAGCAGGTCAGAGAGGTAGGAGGGGGCAAGGCCATGGATGACCTTGAAAGTGAGGACAAGGATCTTGAATTTGATCCTCTGAGGGATGGGGAGCCAGTGGAGTCGGGAGTGGATGGGGTCACAGCACTTGGTGCGCGAGACTACACGAGCTGCAGAGTTCCCAAAGGCGGTGGATGCTGGATCCATTATTTTTTGTTAAAAGAGAAAAAGGCTTTGAACACAAATGTTAATGTGTAATATTTTAAATTGTGCTTTTTTGGGGGCTATTGTTGTTGCTTTTTTTGTAAAGCAAAGCAAACAATGCAATTTTCACACTTAAAAAGTTAATTACGGCGGAAGAGATCAACCAAGAGCAACGGTCTGTCAGTGCCAAAAGAGACAATGTTTACGATAAGCCATTGCACATTAAAAAAAATCCAATGGATTTAAATAAATTCACGGTGTATTATAATATTCCCAGTCTTGAAAACGTGCTGTCCATGCTCCAGGAATGAGGGCCTCGATAGCCAACTGCTGAGGCTATTGGGACTATTCTGAGGAATATTATCCATACAATGTCCACAAACTATACCAGTGTGATTGGTGGACACACACTGACTGATTTGCTTTGCTGAACTTTAGCTTCAGGACCATAGGCTGGAAATGATACCTATTCTTCTCTGTAAGCACATTGTGCTATAAAACGTACAAGCCAGAATTATCAAAACAAATTTACTTTTGGACTTCAGATAAGGTGCAATCTCCGTCTGCAAAAGGCACTGAACGTAGAATTTTCTTCCGTTGGTTAACTGATTTGAATTTCAATGCATCATGAAAAACTGGGGTGCGAGGAAGAAAATGGCTGAACAAAGGTAATAATAATAATCTTTGCATTTGATATAGCGTCTTATCATGCCGGCTAGTCTTTTCAAATCGCTTCACAGGATATACTATCAAAGTGGACTGACTGTGTATTTTGGGGACAAAACAGAATACTTTTGTTCTATAGGAAAGCCATCAAAACTAATCTATGCTAATTTTTGCAAACCACCATTACAAATGTGTGGGAGGAGGATGTCAAACCTCGGAACATCTGGTCCATAGATAAGGTCACCTCCTCTGTGATAGAAAGCATACCAGTCTTCTATAGTTCTGGGACTTGCGGGGATTGTGTATTAATACAGGCTTTCAAAAAAAATCCAAGCAAAGTCAGTAACACAGAAGTTCAATTTCCTGTGTCTTTGTGAACTATTAAAGGGTGTAACTCGTTTCCACTGCTTATCTTTCTCTCCATCTGTGCAAAATGGTACAATCACCTAGCAAATGCCCGCTGGCCATAAAGAAATTGATTGATAGATATCACAGAGGTATCTGCTTCAAGCAAAACTGTACTATTTGTGGATTCCACACTAATACTGACCTAGTGCCACAGCAATGGAAAATTTGTGGTGACTATTCTAACAAAGTCGACCAGATGCTGTGAGAAACTCTGTGGCTAAATACGGCACTTTAGGATTGAGAGCATCCCAGAGAACTACTCCTCAGCTTTATGAGCCTGTGCGAATACTGCTCAGCCAGTGTATTTATCTTGGTGTACAAAGGCGGTTCCCACTTTGTGCCCTTTCTCCACCTGACCTGGAAGCTCGAGGAGAGTTTTCTATGGTTGAAATGGATAATGGATTTGGAAAATGGATTTTGTTTAAAGCCAGACTAGCCTTTTAATCATTATGTTTGCACCGATAAGGCCTTGAGGCTCTCTGATGGCCTAAAGGCAAAGACAGTGCACCACTAAGTCATAGAGACTAGTAGGGCAGAGGTACAATTCTTAATCTGTATTGAGTTATTTGATCTCAGCAAAGGCAGTACAGTTATCCTCTGGGTCTGGGGTTGCTACAGCAATATATGATGGGACTGGATTCAGATCCTTCAAAAATAACTCAACCCCATCCCGCAAAATGCACACTCAATTCACCTTGCAGTATATTCTGTGAAGGGTTTTGAAACGTCCTGAAGATGTGATACATCAAATACAAGGATTAGTATTATTATTATCCCAGATAAGAACATAGAATTAGTAAAGCTACTAGGTATTTTAAGCAACAACACATTTATAAGCGGGCTTCAGAACATTAGAATATATATGGGGGAGAGAGTAACAATAATCCTTGCATTTGTTTGTATTTATAATAATCTTTGCATTTGATTATGGTGTCTTATCACATTATTGAAATGTCTCAAAACAAATCCTGGGATTTGTGTAGAACTTTATTTGCAGGTGAACCAGTGTGGAGCGGGAGGGGGGAGAGAGTGAAAAGAGAGTCCTGCACAGTGGTCAGAGATATACCTTGGTTATAAGGGAAGGCAAAATATATAGAGTGAAATATATAAATAATTAAATTTTATAGGAACAGTTATGTACATAAAATTGGCAGTTAAGTGATTCATTCCTCTAACGTATGGTGAGTTCGTTTTATATTATACAGTCAGGCTTATCAATCCAGACAAGGTTCTACCAACTATGACGACATAATATTCATACACACAGGTATTAGATAATTGCCCTCCTATTTAGAAAACCGCTCTTACATGGGAAGTCTACAGTCTGGATAACATGTGTTGGCAAGAAGGGATCGCTGTTGCGTTAATGGAGCAGAATGTTTGAAGTTTGAAAACTTAATCGGGTCTGTTATTTTTTATGAAACCTTTCATCTTGGAATGGTTACTGTTAAACCACAAACATTTACATTCACTTTAGGCTGAAAATCCACATGAAAGAATGCAATATTTTCCACTTTATTTTTCTAATCATTTACACTCTGATTCCCCCCACCACTCCACTCTCTTGAAAAGAAGAACACCAAAAGCGATACTTACTGGGCTGTCTGTAGAATCATCTGCCAGTTGTAAACCGAAGTAGTCACGTTCAGTCAGATCTAGGTGTCTGAAGACTAAATCCAGTAGGACCTGTCCCTGATCGTGTTTCTGGAACACAAAAATTAAGAGACGCTATAAACTTCTGCTCAAAATAATTGGTGTAAGCTATCCTGCAAATGGATTCTTCACTTTACAACACAGTGCAACCTGAAAGTCACCAAGGTGACAGTGGAGGTAGAATATTCAACCGGGGGTGGCCAGATATTGACGAGAGATGATCAAGTATAAAGAACCAGAGTAAACAGTCCAGGAGTCTGAATATCTCGGTCTCTGGAATTCCTGTCAATGAGCTTCGTTCTTGATTTCTGTACAGGAGCCCTTTTCTGTCAACTATGATAACAGAAAATTGCTGTCGTAATGATAATTGCTTTTTTGCATGACTATTTATTCATTGACTTGGTGTTGTGCGCAGAGCCAGGACAATGCCATGTCAGCTGTCACTTGCTGGGAGCCCACTTCTATTCACAAATCTATGCTTCTGACAAATACTGGGATACCAACAATGCTTGGTGTCTGCACTGAAGCCCAGCCGACATAGCATCCTTGCAAAGGATCAATGATGTCATTCCAGCCAGTTGGTACATGAGTTTGACAACTGCGGTTTCTGCAAAGAAGGGTTGCCTTTGTGTCAGAGAGACCCATCTTGTGTCCAAAACGGTATTGCCGGCTGGAACCATTAAACATCAGTCAGTGCCCTGGTGTACTAGATTCTGAAAATATATTCATTACCTGCTCCATCTGAGATAGATTTAATAGCATCCGTGCAGTCCGTGTGCCAAAAGATAGTGATGGGAGTGTAAAAGGACAAGCGCTGGAGATGAAATGGCTGTTATCATTGGTCTTGTGATTCAGAGACCAGCTGGCTGCAATCCTGTTGCAGTTACCAGCTGCTTCTGGATGTCTGAGGAGTCTTGTTGCGACTTGAACAAGTCTCCCAGGGTCCCGCTCTATACAGTATTTGGCAGCCTTTAATTTTTCAAAATGGGACACGGTTCAGTGCCCAAAGTTAATTGCTGCAGCTGACCGTGCTATTTATGACTTCTAGGAGGCAACAAGATGCACAAAATAGTCACCTGGTCCAGGATATTTGGAAAGCCTGGTTCCTATAAATCAGATCTTTGGGGGAAGACTGGAATGTATTTGGTAACCCAACTGCACAGAAGCAAAGTTTCCTAGTTCCGGTTCTCCAAGTGCACTCTTACCAGCCATTCCAATCTGCACAGGGTTTACATGTTCAATGGTATTGCATTGACCAGCACCTTGCAAAGACCCTAGGCTCTAAAGCAAAATACATTATCCTGACTAAGGGGTGAATCACCTGGAAACTTAAACATCTCTATCAGGACGCACCACTGTCTCATTTCCAGCGAAATATCCCTAACTTGTCATGCCGTTTAATAATCTTGAAATCTTTTATTTTCCAACAACTTCCATAGTTCATTTATAAAACCCTTCACAGCTCTGGCTCCTGATAATATTAGGCTCAACGACTAGAGCCCTGTAAAATTATTTTTTAATACAATTTTTCATTTTATTTTGGGGGAGTTTGGCGTTTTTATTTTATCCATAAAAATGCTTTATTTCTTTTTGTTTCATTTACATTATTCCATACATCTATCACACTTGTTTTTTTTTAAAAAAACTTCCATCTGGCTTCACTTTATATTCTTAACTTATTAATTTTCAAATGCATCTCCCCTGGAGCTCCAAACTTCCCACCATATTGAACAAATAAAATCAAAAATGTTGGATATCTGAAATAAAATCAAAAACAATGGAAATCCACAGCAGGTCAACTAGCATCTGGAGGAGGGAAACAGGCTAACATTTTGGACGTAAGATTTCATCTGTTGAAAGGTTTTGCCTGAAACATTAAGCGAATCTTTCTTTCTCTGATGAAAATCGACTTGCTGTGATTTCCAGCATTTCTGTTTTTCGTATAGATTTTAGTATAGAAAGAATCTATTCAGTTCACCGTGGCTGTGCTATGCTAGCAACCTCATTAAACTATGGATGTTCCATCCATGGGTCATAAGAGCAACGGATACACCCACTCACCCAACCAGGAAAACAGACTGGAGTAAAGAACGCTCCTGGAAGCGAACTGCCTTCTGGTTGGAAGATTGTAATAACGTACAGACTTCAGTTGTTAATCCATCCACAAATGTCACCACTCTCATTACTGTTTTCAAGCCATTTTTACTAGTGGTGTATTTTTATACACATTAGTGTAGAAGAAAAGCAGCAGCTGACCCACATTTTGAGAGCAAGAAGTTTCTTCAAAAAACCAGGCATTCAAAATGCAAATTGAATCCTAACACAGAGAGATTTCTGAGTGGTCCGTTAATGACGATTCAGATGAGACAACTCAGAAAATGACTGCTCATCGGGAAAATTTTATTCCCCACCTTGTAGTCTACTTGTCAGGAAGATTGTGCTCAGTCTCTTATAAAAGTCTACAATCTCTTGCAGGGAAAAACACACAACCATTTTCCAGGAAATTAATGTGGGTCTAAAAACGGTTAACGATTTTGAAGAGATAGAAAACAGTGGCACAAATCTTCTGAAATCTTGATAAGATAGCTAGAAGTTAGCAGAAATCAATGTTAATGCATATAATTTAGATTTTTTTAAGTACATTTAGTCAAATTTATGCATTAGTTTTAAAGGTTTTTCCTTCTACAGGGGTTAGTTTACAGGGACTACAAGACGCTTTACATGGCCCAGTAACTGACGTGATGAGCTATTGTTCATGAGCGAACCTCAACATTGAGCGTCTGCAGGCTATTCAACACAGATGCGCCCTCACCGAATGTCCACATGGTGGAATTTTCCCTCTCTTGAACCTGGGTGGCTTCACGACAATTATAGGGCCTCAATCAATGTCATTGCTAAGATTAGCCAATTCAGCACAGAATGGGAATCACATGTGGGACCTTCCTGGCTTGCATGACTAAACCATTCACTGGCTAAACTCCTGAAGCTTTCAGAAACAGCACACCCTGGTTTTAAAGGTACTGAGCTCATCAGTAACAGTCATTCAGTAAACACTTCCCTAGTGCAAACTCAAACAATCACTGCTTAAAACAGGAAGTTGTTGAAAGAGTAAATATCCTGTGTTATTCAATACGACAGCTTCTGTTTCCCAACAGCTTCATTTCATTGTCTAACTCCACTGCTGGATCAAAAGACTCATGCTTAAAATTGAATGGTAAAAACAAGTGTGCATTTCACATAACTGTGCACAAGAAGGAGCATGACTTTTCCAGCGTGGCTTTATTATTGAGTAATAAATAAAGCCTCGCATAAGACCCATCTTTTCAACAGCATTTTTGGTCACCTTTCTCTCCCCACCTCCCACCTAAGGTTCCCAGCCAGCTGTTGGTTTCTTTTCATTTAATTTTTCTAAACACCAATTTTATTATGTATCTGAACAAATATCCAGCAAATCACCAGGCTAATAAACTCCTCTGAACTCGATTTAAATGTGAGGTGGCAGGCTCAACCTTGCCTCTGAGTCAGAAGGTTATGGATTCAAGAGCTACATTGGGATTTGAAACTCATAGTCTATTCTGACACTGTAATGCAGTGCTGGGGGGTGGGGTGGGGTTGGGGTGTTGCACTGTTGGAGGTGCCATCCTTCAGCGAAATGTTAACTGATTCTATCTGTTCAGATGGTCATTAAAGATTCAATGGTAGTAATCAAAATGAGGAGGATTCTCCCGGTGTCCTGGCTGATAATAATAACCTTTGCATTTGACATAGCACCTTATCAAGTCTTTGAGACGTCTCAAGGCGCTTCCCACAATATACTGTCAAGTGAATTGACTGTACATTTTGTAGGCCAAATCCCCAAATAATTTTTATTATTATAACTTGAACAGGTGGTCCAAATCTTATCGCTTATGTGTTAAAAATGAAAAATTGTGTATTACCACAATCTTGAGCAGAAAAACAACAATTAACCCGCAGGGTGTGAAAATATGAAATAGCTGACAATACCCCAGCAAGCCATATAATACGAGAGCTACATAAGAAAATGCTTCACCGATTGCGACACTGAAAGGAGGTCAGCTGACAGAGGGGGTGGTAGTTCAAAGAAAAGAAAGGTCAGAATAAATGACTAACATGATGCATTCTGTATATTTAAAATTGAATTTTGTACAGTAAAATTCACACAAGTCTGATCTATATAAATTGTATAACAACGTGTATTTATATAGCACCCTTCATGCGGGGTAGCGTCCCGGAGCGCTTCACAGTGGCGGTGTCTGACAACGAACTAGGGGGAAGAGGGAGGGGGGAGATGACCGTAAGCACGATCAAAAAGGAAGGTCTTTAGGCGGGATTTGCCCCTAATTGCTTAAGTCGTACATCTGCCCAAGTCCCGTTGACGTTCGTATGATTTATGCAAGTTTAACATAACTTATACTGTGCAGAAGTCATATTAAATGTATGGTCACAATTGATACCACTTATGTGAGGTTTACTGTACCAAATGAAAAGAGATGAACCCATTGATTCAATTGCAAAAAAAAACATCAATGGGCTTGCTGAGCAGAACTCACTAGCCTGACAGGTGGGAGGAGAAAAAATGATCAACATTCGCAAGAGAACTTCCAGTTCTTTCATCCCCCCCAATCCTCAATTGCACATGGGGTTATCTTGTTTTCAGGAATGTTGTTTGATTTTTCTTTTCTTGGTTTCAAATGAACTGATGCTACTGATCAACACCTACTACATCGTCATTTTATCACATTTTCTCGACAATAGCTCACAGCATGACACAGCTGGCGGCTGAAAGTGAACATGTTAGGAGGCCTGAAAACCGAGTCACTGATTCACACCGAGTGTTCAATTATCTGTTGGATGTTATCTAGCTACTTATTTGCATAAATTATAGAAATATATGGCTTACCGCGTCAACATATATAGATTTACGTAAGAGTGTACAGGACGGAATCAGGCCCAAATCCCGTGAAGCCATTTGAGACATCGACCACGTGATAAAGTGCTACATCTAATGCAAGTATTATTATTATTACTAT